TTTTAATTGATTTTATAGCCTTGGCCTGGTGGCTCAGTTGGTTGGAGCATAGTCCTATACAACAAAAGGTTTCAGGTTCAACCTGTCAGGACACATACCTAGATTTCGGGTTTGATCCCTGGTTGCAATGTGTACCGGAGGTAACTGATTTATGTTTCTCTCTCCACCCCCTTCCTTGCTCTCTAAAAATCAATAAAAACATGTCCTTGGGCGAGGATTTAAAAAACTGAACTTTATAATATTTTAAGTATTTTAAAATCCAAATATAAAACTTCTGGTAGTCTAAGAGGGAAATTATACAGAAATCATTGATTTTTTAAAAAGTTTTATTTTGCGCGGCTGGGTGTAGCTCAGCAGTTGAGCGTCGTCCTAGGATCCAGGCGATCGTGGTCAGGGCACATGCCTGGGTTGTGGGCTCGATCCCTAGTCGGGGGCGTGCAGGAGGCGGCCAGTGAATGACTCTCATCATTGATGTTTCTCTTCCTCTCCTTTCCTCTCTCTGAAATCAATAAAGATATATATATATTTTTTAAAGTTTTATTTTTATGTTTTTTAAAGAACAAATCTTCCTCCCAATGGTTAAATCTAGGTTTTGGATTCTGTGAGGGTTTTTGTTTATTTGTTTTTTGCTTGTTTTGTTTCTTTAAATTACTTTGTGGGTAAGAACTGAGATGAGACCCATCTAGAAAAGAAGTCAATATTTCATTTCTGTGGAGAATAATTTGCAACCAGCACTACCTACACATGCTTTCTTTATTATTTTTAAGAGTTAAAGGCCTATAACATAATATCATGTGGTGAGTTCTTTGTCCAGCCCTGCTACTCAGTATCCCTGGCGTCCCTTGGGCAGATCACATCTCTCACACCAGGTTTTGTAAATTGGGGATATACTATTTACAAGTTTTGCAGGGTAGTGCCCACTTCAGGTTTCACAGGATCATTAAGTACTTGAGCTGGAAGGTACCATAAGAGACCATCTTGATTCATGATATGTGTGTCCTTTAAAATTTTATTTATTACAAACTTAAGCATCTTTACAGAAAGTAAAAGTCTTATTAAAGAGTACACCCATTTTTAAAGAGTTGTAAGCATTCGATATTTCACCTCATTTTTCCCCCCACATAGCACAAGTTCATCTATATATTCCCTTGTACTTGCAGTGCAGTCTTTTCTTTATGTCAATAAGCCATCATTTCTTTAGCCATTTGGTTTTGGGGGGTATTTACATTGTATATTTTTTCCTGCTATTGTCAGTGATGTTGCTCTGACAATTTTTCTGACTGGCATTACTTATGGCACACTAAGTGTAGACATCTTACTTGGTGTCATGGTTCTGAGTGTTGATGCTCAGTAGCCCACAGTTATGATTGGCAGTGAGTATGCTTAGCAGTCTGATTTAGGAACCAGTCTCTTTAAGGTTTAGTCTTTCCCCCAGTTGGACACAATGTGAGTCGGAGGAGATTCACCATAGTGATGGCCAAATAAATGTCTGAGTAATTCAGGAGCAGATTTGCATTTATCCAGTGGTAATATCAATCAGATTTATCATACAGCCCTTCTGCTCCCTACCTCCTAACCCACCCACCCCAAATTTTTGAGCAGCAAAAAGTGACCCTAACTAGAGGAACTGAGACCTGGAGAGGATTAAGTAATTTCCCCAAGATTACTCAACTAGGACATGGAAGAACCAGGGTTTGAAACCAGGCAACCTGGCTTTAGAGTCCAAACTCAAGATGAGATACTTCCTCTTTGGCATCTGTTATTTCATTTAAAAGCAGAAACAACAAATAGAAGATAATATCTAAAACAAAACCCAGCACTTGTCAGCTGTTTGGCAACTGTTTGCATAGTCTCTTGGCTGATAAGATTAATTTGGGATAAAGCTGGAGGGTTTAAGGTGGGAAATACAATGACATATTGTAGGAAGATTATTTTGACCTCACTATATTAAGAGAATGGATTATAGTCAAGAATGGAAACAAAGAGACCAAATTAAAAAGCTCTTGAGTAATGAAGGTGAGAAATGATGATTACTTAGGCTTGGAATGAATAGATTTCAATTTTCTTTTACAGGTAGATTCAGCAGCCACACCACTTTGTGGATTGGATGTTATAGATGTTAGGATGAGGGAAAGATAAATCAAGGGTAGCTGAGCAATTCAGTGGATGGTGGTTTCACTTATTTTAGGATGGAAAAAACTGGAGAAGTAAAGGTTTGTGGCAGGAAAATCCACCTGGCAGAAATTCAAGTGAGCATTGAAGTGGCCAGGTGGGGCCAGTTGCACCTCAGAAGAGAACTTAGGGTCTGAGATGTAAATTGAAATAAATAGGTGTTTTACTATATTTTTTACATAGAAAAGACTATTAAAACTACTATAAGGTATATGTTTTGCTACTTTGTTTCATGTTTTCCTCCCCTCTACAATCACACTTCAAAAAAATGTTATATATTTAAGTAAAGCTTCAACATGCTTCTCTAACAGACACTAATTTTGTGCCTAGCACTGTTATTTCTGATCATGCACAGACGTTATTTCTTTCAGAAAATTAGATATAACTAAGTACCTGTAAATTTTAAAGAGCAAATTTTTATTATTGTTTCCATTCAGGGATTGTATAAGCTAACTTTTTTGGTTGCCATCATCCCATGAAATATAGTTCAGAGAATGCTGAAACACTATAGAAAAAGCAGATTTCTGAAATTCATTCTTTTGGCTGGGGTAATAATTTTAATTATTATTATTTTTTATTGAGTTTATGAGAGTAAGAAGAATACTGTGAAAGTTTTTGTTGCTGTTCTGAATCTTTGGGTTCTGTGTGTTGTTTGGGTTTTTGTGCATGGACTAGGATGGTGTTAGGCAGGGGCTGTTGTAATTAGGATTTTGGATTTGAGTGGCGGGGACATGTGACTGCTGTGCAAAGGCTATTTTTGGTGCCTGGGTGTCGGCTTCTCGTCAGAAACCATAGAGAATTAGTGCGAGGTGCACTTGTGGAGCTCAGACAGTGACAGGCATTGTGATGTGAGTGTTTGAACTTTTGAACATGGGTTGTTGCTTCAGCAAAGGATTAAGTGGTGACAATGACAATGAAAAAACTGGCTTGTTACAAAAATCTGTGGAGGAGAAGGAACCGGAGAACAAGATAAGTAAAACTTTATCTGTATTATTTGACACACTGGAAGGTGAGGAGCTGCACAATGTTAAATATGGAGCCAGCAGGGCAGCTTCTGGGACTGATATGTGGCCGAGGATGTTTGTGAGGTCTGGCTACAAACGGGCTCACAGACCGAGGCAGTCATTTAATTCTATTTCCTCTTTAATGTATAAGTACCTAGCTAGGTATGAAAATTTGGATGAGACTGACAAGAATTCAGGTACTGCTGCTGTTGAGCAGGCCTGTGAGAGTGCCCGTGAGACTGTGTGTGTGGACACTGACAGCCCACGGGGTTTCTCTTCAGGTGCTGTCTCTGAGGACGACAAGTGTCTTTCACATGTCCCAGGGCCTTCTGGTCAGGGTGTGCAGGACGGAGCCCTTGTAAATAACTGTCTGTGCCATCAGTTCATGACTGGTAAAAATTCTGAAGTAGAAAAAGAAATCTCGGTAAATGTTTACTTCAGTTGTGGTAATGAGAATAATGCTTTAGGCGTGTCTGATAGGGAGATAGAGGGTGCAAACCCCATTTGTGTGGATCACAAACGATGCTGGAATTCAAGAGAGAGCAAGTTTTACAGTATCTGTGTTGTAGACCCTGGCAGCCTCGACCAAAACAACGAACTGTGCGTGCGCAGGTGTGGAGCAGCTGCAGCAGAAGACAGCTGCTCAGCTGTCACTTCTGAGGGGGTTTGCAAAGAGGCCTGGCCACCAGATAACACTGCCCAAGGTCTGAGGGACTTAGAGGCACCGCAGGAAGATCTGTCTCCATACGACCTGCTAGGTCCAAGTGAAGTGAAGGAAGTCTCTACTGAGAAAACTAACCCTAGTTTCAAAGTTTTGACTGACAGTGACCCATCTTGTAAAGGCAACACTGGAGACGTGCAGGCTGAGTCTTTAAGGGCAAACACTTACACCAGGTTCCCTAAAGATTATACAGAAAGTGGTGCATTACATAATGTTGGCAGAATACCTGAATCAAACACTAACATAGACACTGACTCACTAGAATGCACGTGCGCCATCCCTGAAGAAGGAGAGAGCCGCAGTCCAGCACAAGTAAGTCCGAGAGGTGACTCACATGTTAATCTAATTAATGACACTTCCAATATTGAGCAAAATGGTGACTCTGGGGCTGTAAAAGCTAGCATACATCAGAATTTAAACTCTGAAAATGAAGGAAAGAACCTTATAAAATCTTTAAGGGACAATGATTGTTCCAGTTTAGATGCTAACAGATCAGACAGCTCAAAAAGATGTGTCACTTCAGTTAGCTTTGGAAATGAGTGTCTTCCTCTTCATGCTAATTTCCGAGAAGCAGCCCCTAACAGCAGTAATGATCCCAGACCTGAGGACCTGGGTCCGGCGCTGATGGAGGGGCGGTACAGTCCTGACCGCAGCCTGGGAACTGGGAGCACCCAGTTTGCAAGTGAAGGAGAATTGCCTTTGCAACTTGAAAATAGTTTATCTTTCCAGGATGAGGATGAAACGAGCATTTTTGAAGATGAGGGTCATGGTCAGAGGGCTTCTGAAAGGAGGTCTTTTAGTCAGGAAGATCTGTCTGCAGATACTGGGGCCAGCATAGCCCAGGCCCAGATCTGTGATTTAACTCGTGCAATACAGGCAACAAACATGGAGGGCTTATGTCAGAGAACAGATACCCTGGACCTCAGGAGTTCACAGGATGTGCCCCCAAATGCTGAGTCTCCTGGTGGCCCCAGATGTGTTCAGAGTAACTTTACATCCTGTGCATTAATTTTCACCTGCACTGAAGAAGAAAGTGAAACAGGCCAGAATCATAAAACAGAAGATGAATTGTGTGTGAAGAGTTCAGGGAGTAGCCCTCACAGACTAGAAAATGCTGAAAAACAGTCACTAAAGGCTAATCACAGAGAGACAAGTAAAAATGACATAGAAAATGTCAAGTTAGTCTCTGAAACAATCTTTCACTGGGAAACAAATACAGGAAAATGCGAGGCAGTGCCCAGTCAGGATATACTGGCTTGTGTTAGTTCTAGTATAACAAAACCCCCTGATTTTGAAACAAATCAAATAGAAAAACATGATGAAACCTGTAGAGTGAATGACTGCAGACACGAAGATCTTCATCTTGTAGCACCTGTGAGTACAGGTGCGCAGATGGCAGAAGCAGAGGAGACCTGCTCTTTTAACCATGGTGGAGATCCAGGACGGGAGCAGGTTTCCTGCACATCTACTGAAGTCTCTGATGCCTTACGTACTAGTGCACTGATGGGACACAAACCAGAACTGATAGGGGACGAAGTGGAAGGCGGACTTCCCTGGGAGAAAGACAACAGTGACTCCAGCAGCAGGTACTGCAAACGTCCATGTGGGATAAGCAGACTTGCACACCACTTCACACAAAAAAATGCCGTAGCCACAATTAAAGGGCCTATGTTAAATGGTGAACTGGGTTTCGTGGGAAATTCAAGGGTGAATTTTGGAGAAATGGAGTTATGTGACACTCTTGCTGGGTATTCCTGCTTGGCTGGTGTTCACCCTACCCAAGTGGACAGACACACAGCTATTCCTCATGATGCGCTACACGCAGTTCCTGTCATTCCAGGTGGCAACAAAGAAATAGAAGTACCAACTAGTGAGGACTATGTTTTATCACTCTCAGAAGACAGTAAAAATATATCTGACAACCGCTCAAAAGGGGGTTTGCAGAGCTTCCCAGAGGAATTGTATTCCCAGTTTTTAAATGAACTTTCCTATTATCCGGTGGGAGGGTTGGCAAGTCACATGTTTTCTGAAAGCCTGGCTGGTGGTTGTACCTATCCAGTGGGCTGTCTGTGGACTAACACAGTTGTGAAAAGTTCACTAGAAGATGAACAAATACTTATTGGTGACTTGCACAGTCAGTCACAGGACTTCGAGATCTCTCCCTTTTGGATGGAAAAGCTCCCTTATCAGTTACCAGTGGCTGAAGATGGTGTTATTTGGGGATGGCAAAATAGAGGTGTACAGTTAGTAAGTATGTTTTCATCAGTTTTTATTATTGTGCTGTGATATACTAATCTTTCATTTTGATTGCTTTTAACTTAAAATTAAACAATGGGCAATTGTTTGAATCTTTCTGTAAAGCTGTGAGTTAATGTAGCATTGATTTAATCATTTCCAAATTGGAGACTGAATTACTTCACTGTTTTGTGTCAACTCTTGTTAGCACTAAACCTGTACTGCTCAGGTGGTGAGATGCAGCTTTGTGTAGACCATCTTCTGTTTGTGGACTTCACATGCATGTGCTCATGAAGGCGCCCTGCCCCGCCCACTCCAGTCCTCATCACCAGCCCCTTGCTGGAGCAGAACAAGCATTGACCCATTGGATGTTTAAAGACATTTCTAAAAGGTTACAATTGCAGCATGTACATGAATTAAATCTGTACTTTCCGTTACTTTGTATGGTAACTGTCTTAGGCAGTTAAAATTTGCTTCTTTTAACTTGCTCTGAAATTTCCCTCTGTCTCCTTTCTGTCAGAAGCATCTACAGAGCTTTTCAGACCACTGTACTCAGGCCCTGCTCATTTGGAAGAACCTTTGCAGATGATTCTGGCACGGGCAGCTAATTTGGGCATCTTTCTAGAAATTCTGTAATAAATGCAAACATTTCACAAATGGGAAAGTTAGTCTTGCTCTTAAAGTAGTCCTTTTCAACATGTATGATTGAAAAGGCATACTTGTAATAGTAAAATCTCATTTATTTAAACAGTAGTTTATTAGTGATTTTTGTTGCATTAGGCAAGAAAAATAATACGTAATAGTAAGGAGATAGATGTAGCGTAAATGTTAATTAATGCCTATTATATGGAAATAAACAAGTATAAATTCTGTAATTTAGGGAATTATCCATTAACGTTGTTTCTTTCCTTTCCATGCCACATTTGGGAGTTTTACCTGAGTTACATTCAAGTTAATCAGTTTTGTTTCTTAAATAATTGCAGGGGCAAACACTATAAAATTAGGCCTTTTAATCATATGCTTATAATCATTTACATAAGCAGGCACAATTAACAATTGACTGCTAATTTTAGTGCTTGGTACATTAATGTAGAGTTCATGTGGGTCTTGTTGCTGTTCTGTTCTACCTCTAAGTGAGATACGGTGTCTTGTTCTGAATTAGCTTCTCCATTATGAGGTATGCCCAAACAACATTCTAATTTGACATACTACATTTAAGGATAGTGCTTTGCTTTTCACAAATATGATTTTCACAATGTTTGTATGGACATCTTTTTTATAGTAATCTTACATACAGCAGCTGTTACTCCGTTTTACAAATCAAGAACCAAAGGTACAGAGACTTCATAACTCTGAAGCCAGTGAATTGCTCTGAATTATTAAGCTTTCCTAGTGGCAAATCCAGGGAGTTTGAGCTAACTTGAAATAAGAAATGTGCAAGTGTATACTTCCCCCTATAATCTTACATATTTATGTTTTATCTGCCTTCCCCTTCTGATACTAGTTACTTTAGTTTCTACTCGGTAACTTGTCAGTGGGACCATTCTGTGAGGAAACACAAATTTATGCATTGCTAGGTCATTTTTTTTTAATGGAGCAATGTGTTTGCAGGGTAGAAGAGTTTCTTTAGAGAGTCAGAATTTGGGGATGCTGTACGCTTCAAAGAGCAATATTGGTCATTTAGGCAAAATGGATTCAGAACTTTTTTTATCGCCACCAGAGGATATGTTTATTGATTTTGAAAGAGAGGAAGGGAGAGAGAGAGAAAACCATCAACTGGTTGCCTCTCTTACACGCCCCAACAGGGGATCGAACCACAACCTAGGTATGTGCCCTGACTGGGAATTGAACCCACAACCTTTTTGGTGTACATTACAACGCTCTAGTTAACTAAGCCAGGGCAAAATGTCATTTCTGGTTCTAATGATCATTGCTTGGTTATCATTTTCAGTGGGAAAATAAGACTCAGGTGGCTGAGCAGGTGAAACTTGAGTTGATAATCAGTTGAAAGTTCCATGTAGTTGTAAGAGAATAACCACATTTCAAAGAAATAAGTTTAATAAGTTATTTCTCATTTGAATTACAAGAAGTTAATGAACTCTTGATAAATGTTGTTGTTTGATTCTAGAGCACTTTTCTGGTTACCATCATTTGGGGCTGGGTGGGGGGGACGGCAGGTTACTTAACCTGTCCTTTCTTGGTTTTCTTATTTGTGAAATGGAGGCAGTGATTCCTACTACCTGTCAGGCTTGTCATGATTAAATACAGGTAAGTACATAGAATATTCTGGCACCTTGCAGACTCTCCAGTGTTAGTTGTCATGTCATTAGGTCTTAATTATGTCTCCCTTTATTCATCCTTGTCACATCTCAGAATATCTTTTGAATACTGGTTAATTGCTTTAAATTGTGAAGTCCTTAATAGTGTATTTGGATTTGAGTATCTACTACTTATGAACTAGTAAATTATATAAAGGTATATGATTCTATTCGGTTGTGGCATAAAACCTTGCACAGGTTGTCAAATAGTGGAAAACATAACTTTCTGTTATTAGTTTATTAAACATTCATTCCTTTAGTGTATTTCTCAAGCACCTGTGTACTGAGTTCAAAACTGCTAGGTATTAGCAATGCAGTGGTGAACTAAATGGACATCCAAGAGTTCCTGGGCTTGTAGGAAAGGCAGACCAAGCAAGCCTTCCACAGGCCCATGGTTTTCAGAGTGGTGTTCACCTCTAGGACAAAGTGTGATCTGGACTAGTGAACTACAAAATGTATACTGGTCATGTAGTACATTCAGCTGCAAAAGATGCTAAGAATCTAAAAGATGGATATTGGTTGATGTTAGGAGTTAAGAGAATGTATAGTACATACATGAGATCAGGGGAGTCAGTTTCCTGAATGGAACAGCAGTAACGTAGGGAAGCTTGGTGTGTGTCGTTGCATGGTGGAAAGAGACGAGTGGTCTCTTTAATTAGAAATAGTGGTTTACACAAGTGTTAGAAAAGAGAATAGAGGCATGAATTAAGGAAGAAAAAGCAGATGATACAGGTGTGAATGCTGAGGAAGGTAGTCGTGTCTTAGATGCAGAATACCTTCTGCATTGCTCTTTGCTCATGAGGGTTGTGTCTGCTTTGTTCTATCCTGATGGCTTAGTGCTGTGCCTGGCACTTATGAGCACTTGGGGAGTATTTTTGGGGGACCCTGGGGGATGAGAGAGACAAATAGAGAAACACCTTGTGTGGAAGCAAAGGCCAAAATTACCTGGAAGTATAGGCGCCATGAAGGAAGGGGGATTGACTGTTCAGTACTTCCTGAGTATAGTATACTTGAAGGAGAAAGGGAATCCTGTTCTTTGCCCATTTGCCAGTACCTGAAAAATAAAAAGAATTCCAGGTAGGTACTGACTGAGACGTCTGGTTTTGTGGGCATGGTGTTTATTGTCCTTGTCTCCTAAATATGAATAAAGTAGATACTATAGTTTTAACCACATCAGCCTGTACTGTCAACTTCAGAAATAGTTTTTCACTTCAAACTTTTATCACCCTAACCAGTGAATTTAATGTCTTTTTTAAAGATTGTTAATTTACATGTGGTTAGTTTGATGGCTTATCCTGACCCTGTTTACATTAGGAGAGCATTGGGTAATACGTGCACCTCTGGGGTCGTGCACCGAGTCTACACCCAGCTCAGAGCTCCTCCCTGGCACTGCTGTAGGGCTCCTGAGACCAGGACTCTGGTCCCTCCTTTCAAAAGTCCTCAACCTCTGTACATGGTGTCAAGGCTCTGGTACTTGGTAAAAGGTGAATAATTTGGCAGGGTTTGCTGAACAGTTGTGGCAGCAGAACTGGAGTTAGTTTAGGGAGTAGTTGCACTTGGAACATTAACTTTTCTCTTTTTTTTGGTCAGTCTTCACCTGAGGTTTGTTATTATTATTATTTAATATGTTTTTATTGGTTTCAGAGAGAGGAAGAGAGAGAGAGAAACATCAATGATGAAAGAGAGTTATTGATCAGCTGCCTCCTGCACACCCCTACTGGGGATCCAGCCCGCAACCTGGGCATGTTCCCTGACTGGGAATTGAGCCATGATCTCCTGGATCATAGGTTGATGCTCAATCACTGAGCCACCCCAGCCGGGCTGAGGATATTTTTGTATTAATTTTAGGGGGGATGGGGGAGAAACATCAATGCGAGAGACACACATTGATTGTTTTCCTTCTGCACGCCCCGACGCTGGAAATTGGACCTGGGACCATTCAGTTCGTGGCCCAACGCTCCAACTACTGAGGCACACTGGCCAGGGCTTAATTTTTCTTTAGATTTGTGGAACCTCTCAAGGTTTGTGAGCAGGAGAAGAAAAATCAGGGTGGTTGCTGGTTTAATAAGGTGCACCAGAAAAGACCTCACCAGTCCCTAAAGAGGTAAAGGTTATAGCCATGTGAGTACCTGGGAGAGTGTTCTGGACAAATGGAGCAGAAGTATCCAGTGTGTCTGGACAGCAAGAGGCCAGTGATCCTGGAAATGAGCAAGGTCCTAAAGGTCCCCCATCAAGCACCCCTCTGATAGAGTTGTTAGAGACCTTTGTTCTTGGAGGAATTTTTGTTTTCTGTATCCTTTGCTTGTATGAGTGTTTGAGGCTTATTTTCTGATAATCTGTGTTCTATTCAGATTTGCAATTCTATGAATTGTGTTGGGTAGTCTAGAGATGATAATTGGATCAGTAGTTATATATCAGTAAATGTCTCTAGAGAGCTTTGGGTTCAGTAGGAACTTAGACTCAAATGAGAAATTGAGTTCTTAATGCATCCACTTTTGTTACTGGTGCCCCTGATTTCATCCCCAAAGTATGTGTAGATAGGCTCAACCATTTTAGCCTAAATCTCTGCGTTTTAACTCTGAATAAGTATAATTGCATTTGATTGGAATTTGGATACAAATGTATATGTCAAATTTTTTCTTAGGTACCAACAGCCAAGGTTTCAGAGCTAAACCCCAATGCAAAAGTATGGGGGACACCTGTGTTACATTTGGAGGCAGGTAGTGCAGCAGATGGTGGTGTGAGCGCATCCTGGGAGGACACGCCCTGCCAGCACTCCAACTACAGCCAGGAAGGTGAGTTGTGAGCCCAGTACCATGAACAGTTTTGCTCTCTAGGCGTGGTCTTTGTTTCCTTTTAATTTGTCTAAGAAATTGTTCATTAAAATTTGTGTCCTGGTTTGTGACAGTATTAAGAGTCATGTGATCTTTCACCAACAACTTAAAATTGATGTAACTGCAAATATAAGCTTTTGTTTTGTTTTGTTTTGTTTTGTTTTAAGAGAAAGGCACTCCTGTAACCCTACCTTTTTCGGGTAAAATTCCTAATTACAGAATTGGATGCCAATGGTGATGGTGACAAAAGTCATCAGAATGCAGCACTGTCAGAGTTACAGGAGTCGGACCAAACAGCCATGAACACTTTGGCTCTGGATCACTCCGAATATGAATCTCTGCCTGAAAATAGTGAAACAGGTAAAGCTGCTTAATGAATTCATTTTCATATAGAGCAAGGGCTTTTTTATACTGCTTTTTAAAATTCAGCTCATTAAATCTTTCCCAGCACAGTGTGCCTGCCATTACTTCCTTTGATTTTACTTTAAACTCACTCCTGTGTGGACAGAGATGAGGTGTTCTGGTAGGGGAAGGCATCACAGAAAGAGTGTGAGACCTAAGCACTTCCTGCAAAGCAAGTCCCCTTGAGCTGAGAGAAGCAGAAGATCTACTGTGGGGCAAAGTGTGAGAACTCAGAGGGAACGTTAATGTGAAATTGAGAGTCAATCCCAAAAGAAGTTGGTTCTTTTTTATTTTTTTAATATTTTTTTTTATTGATTTTAGAGAAAGGGAGAGAGAGAAACATCAATCTGCTGCCTCCTGCACACTCCCTACTGGGGATTGTGCCCCCAACCTGGGCATGTGCCCTGACAGGGAATCAAACCTGTGACCTTTTGGTGCATGGGACAAGGCTCAACCAACTGAGCCGTACCGGCCAGGGCAAGAACTTGGTTCTTTTTAAAGGGGTATTTAAAGCTGTTTTCAGAAGAAGAAAAGAACAAGGAGAAGAAAGCAGTTCTTTTGTGGGGGCCTGGATGTGGGCAGATGTAGAAATGTCAATGGGACACTGAAGCTCACTTCCAAGCTTGTTTCTGACATAATCTAAAACCCCCATAGACCTAAGAGATAGGCTGCACACTCATTGACAGTTGAATGGGGCAGCATGATGGAAGGAATGACTCCACTAAGTTGGCTAGCAAGTGAAGTGTACTCAGTCTCTCAGATAATTCTGTCTAGAGATACACTTGAGTTAGACAAGGTACATGAATGAGAAAGCACACTCTCCCTTTCTGTGTTATGTTCTTACTACCAAACATTGTAAGATGCGCGAGGTACACCATAAGCACCATGTAAGTTTTTGGCATCACATATTTGGTTATTTTTCCCGTTAAAGGGTGACATCCATAAAGACCTTTCCTGCACTGTTGCTAATTTGGGTAGCACTTGTTGAATGCCTCCACTGACCTCTGTTGCACCTCCTAGCACCCTTATTTCCCTCCTCACTGTTCCTGATCACACAAACGATCATTTCATTACTTCCTTCATACTAGCTTAGCAAATGCTTCAAACTTGTTTAAATATAATTCTGTACCTACTGTGTGCCTATTCCTGAGCAGATAGGTACATGTGGTTGAACAAATCTACATAGCGGTATGCAGTGGTTTCACTTTTAAATTCATGATCACAAACTTCCAGGCATGGCCCATAGTGACCCAGGGAAGTCACTGTCCTGGACAACTGTTTCACAACTTCTGTTCTCTCTTCAGACTCCGCACTCTCTTCTTTATTTTTGGGTATAGAGCCTCTTGAAGCATAATTGATGTACAATGAACATCACATATTTTAAAGTGTATCCCAGCTTTTCTATAAGTTTTATTTTCCTAGCTTAAAGCACAATATTCATTGCATCATAAATTGATTTGCTGACTCTTCCATTCCTCATTGATTCCTCTACCAAATTTGATATGACTTATACACGTATAAAACCATCACCACAGTCAAGATCAATACTTCTTTTACTTGGCTTACTAATTTTGAGGTTCATTCATGTCGTAACATTCACAGGTTGTTCCTTTTTGTTGCTGAATAGTATTCCATTATATACCAGTATGTTTTTTTCATTCACCTGATGAATATTTTGGGTTGTTTCCAAGTTGTGGCTATTACAAATAAAACTGCCATGCACATTTATAAGCAAGACTTTGTATGAACACATGTTTCTGTTTCTTTTGGACAAATACATAGATATGGAATAGATGATCATCTAGTAGACATATATTTATCTACCTAAGAAATGGTGAAGCTGTGTTCCATAGTGGCTCCCTTTGTGTGTTCCTACCATTAGTCAATCAGAGATCTAACTGCCCCACACCCTCACCAACGCTAATATGATCAGTCTTTAGTTTTAGCCATTCTAAAAGGTAGGTATGTAGTCTTACTATGATTTTAATTTGTATTTCCCTAATGACCAGTGGTCTCAAAGTATCTTTACATATGCATATGTCTTTTGGTGAAGGGTCTGTTCAAGTCTTGAGAGTTCCTTATATATTTTGGACAGAAGTCCTTTTCAGATACATGATTTGCAAATACATTCTCCCAGTCTGTGGCTTGTCTTTTTTTTCCTATTAGTTGCAGCTTTTGAAAAGCAAAAGTTTACAGTAATTTTCTATATAGTCTAGTTTATTAGTTATTTAAAATACAGTCCAATTTATCTTTTTTTTCTTTTATGGATCTAGCTTTTGGTGTTGTACCTAAGAAATCTTTGCTTAATGTTAGTCATAGAGGTTTTTCCTAGAATTTGTCTGGTTTTAACTTTTACATTTTTTAGGCCTGTGGACAATTTCAAGTTAATTTTTGTATATGTTGTGAAATGTGGAGCAAAGTTCTTTTTTCCCCCCACATGTGGAAATGTACCATTTGCTGGAAAGGCTCACCTTTCTCCATTGCACTGCCTTTGTACCATAGTCAGAACCTCTGTTTATATGTTCGTGGGTTTATCTCTGGACTGTCTCTCTGTTTCATTGATCTGTTCTTTTTTTTTACTTTTTCTTTTTTAATATGTCTTTATTGATTTCAGAGAGAGGAAGGGAGAGGGAGAGAGAAACATCAATGATGAGAGTCATTGATTGGCTGCCTCCTGCTCAGGGGTTGAGCCTGCAACCCAGGCATGTGCCCTGACTGGAAATCGAACCTTGAGCTCCTGGGTCACAGGTCAATGCTCAACCACTGAGCCATGCGGGCAGGGCATGGTCTTTTTTTCCCTTTTTTTTTTTTTTTAAATATATCTTTATTGATTTCAGAGAGAGGAAAGGAGAGGGAGAGAGAGAGTTAGAAACATCAATGATGAGAGAGTCATTGATCGCTGCGGCCCGGAACCCGGGCATGTGCCCTGACCGGGAATCGAACCCTGATCGCCTGGATCCTAGGTCGACGCTTAACCGCTGAGCCACGCCCGGCCAGGCCATGGTCTTTTTCTTAACAGCTTTATTGAAGTATAAAATATTAAAAGTGTACAATTTGATAAGGTTTGACATCAGTGTACAGTTATGGAAACCATCACCATAATTTTCTTTTTATTGAATTTATTGGGGTGACATTGGTTTCCAAAACTATACAGGTTTCAAGTACATAACACAATCACACATCATCTGCACACTGCATTGTGCACCCATCGCCCCATACAAACTCTTGTCATTCCCATTTTCCCCCTCCTTTGCCTACCTCACCTACCCCTCATCCTTCTTTCCCTCTGGTTATCATCACCACACTGTTATCTGTTTCTGTGTGTTATGCATATATGTTTTTTGGTTCATGCCTTCACCTTCTTTCATCTTGTGCTCCAACCCCTTTCCCCTCTGACAGCTATCATTCTGTTCCATGTATCCATGTCTCTGGATCTGTTTTGTTTATCAGTTTATTTTGTTCATTAGATTCCACATGTAAGTGAGATCATAAGATATTTGTCTTATTTCACTTAGCATAATAATATCCAGCTCCATCCATGCTGTCACAAAAAGTAAGATCCCCCCCCTCTTTTTTTTAAATGCCTACCCAAGGATACTTTGTCCATCTCTTTTCAGAGAGAGTGGGAGAGAGAAAAGAGAGAGAGAAAAAATTGATCTGAGAGAGACACATCGATTGGTTACCTCCCACACGCACACTGACTGGGGCCGGGGACGGAGCCTCCAACTCATGTACGTGCCCTGGACCGGAATTGAACCCAAGACCCTTCAGTTTGTGGGCCGACACGCTTAACCACTGAGCAAAACCAGCTAGGGGTCTCTTCCCCTCCCCCCCTTTTTAACTGCTGAGTAGTCCTCTATTGTGTAAATGTACAGTTTTTTTATGCACTCATCTACCACTGGGCACTTGGGCTGTTTCCAGATCTTAGCTATTGTAAATAATGCTGCAGTGAATATAGGGGCCCATCTGTTTTTTCAAATTAGTGTTTCAGGTTTCTTAGGATATATTCCCAGAAGTGGGATCTCTGGGTCAAAAGGCAGTTCCATTTTTAATTTTTTGAGGAAACTTCATACTGTTTTCCACAGTGGCTGCATCATTCTGCATTCCCACCAACAGTCCACGAGGGTTTTCTTTTCTTTACATCCTTGCCAACACTTGTTGTTTGTTGATTTATTGATGATAGCCGTTCTGACAGGTCTGAGGTAATATCTTATTGTAGTTTTAATTTGCATCCCTCTGCTGATTAGTGACGGTAAGCATTTTTTATTTTTTCATGTCTATTGGTCATCTGTATGTCCTCTTTGGAGAAGTGTATTCCGGTGCTTTGCTCATTTTTCAGTTGGGTTGTTTATCTTCCTGGTGTTTAGTTGTTTAAGTTTTTTATATATTTTGGAATTAACCCCTTTATCAGATATATCATTGGCAAATATGGTCTCTCATACTGTGGTGATCTGTTAATCTGCTTTGACAGCAGTGCCGCACTGTTATGATTACCGTAAGTAATTCTTAAAAACAAGGTAGTGTTAGCCTTCTCATTTTTTCTTTTTCAGTTACTTTGGCTTTTCTAGTTCCTTTTCTTTCCATTTTCATACAAATTAGAATAAGCTGGTTATTGTGTATAAAATGTTGAGATTTTTATTGGGCTTGCATTAACTTCATAGATCAGTTGGAGAAAATTGACATCTTAAGGCATTACTCATGAATAAGGTATATGTTTCTGCTTGTTTAGGTCTTTGATTTCTTTTGGCTTTGTTTTTTGTGGGGGTTTTTTTTTTTCCTTTTTTTTTTTTTTTTTTTAGTGTACTAGTGTTTCACATCTTTTGTTCATTTTATCCTTAAGTATTTCATATTTTTTGGTGCTATTCTAAGTGATTTTTTAAACATTAAAGTTGCAGTTCATCAGTAGAAATATAATTTTTATAAATTTATATTATACCCTGTAAACTTGCTAAGCTCACTTAATAGTTTTAGGAACTTTTTTATAGATTGTATTGGATTTTCTACATAGACTTGAATTTGTCTATGAATAAATTCAGTTGTATTCCCTAGCCAGTCTGGTACCTTTTATTTCTTTATCTTGCCTGATTGCACTGGATAGATCCTCCGTTGCAAAGGTGAACAGATGTGGTGAGTGCAAACATCTGACTAATCTTAGGGGGAAACAGTCTTTATTCGTACTGAGTGTAATGTTAGTTATTTTTGCATATATGAACTTTATCAGGTTGATGAAGTACCTTCTGTTATTATTTTCTGAGAGTTTTTATGAGGAATGGTTCTTGGAATATGTCTTGCTTTTCTTTTCCTCCACCTGTGGCAATGGTCATATATTTTTTCTTTTTTAGTGTGTTAAAGATGAATTACATTGATTGATTTTTGAAACATTTAACCAAATTTATATTCCTGGAATAAACTTCAGTCGGTCATGATGTTGTAATATACTTGATATATTGTTGGATTAGATTGGTCAAAATTTTGCTTAGAATTTTTACATCTGTGTTGAGTAATATTGGTCTGTAGTTTTCTTTTCGATGTATTCCTTCCTGTTCAATTTTTGCATGAGTTTATTATTTCCTCCTTAAATTAAGAAGCAAAGCCACATGGACCTAGAGCTTTGTTGTGGGAAAGTTTTCACCTATAGGTTTTTTGTTTTTTTATAGGGCTTCTCAGGTTATCTATTTCTTCTTGAGGAAGATTATGTCTTCTAAAGATTTGGATGAGTTCATTTACTTGTCAAAGCTATTGTATAGAGTTGCTCATATTATTCTATTTATCCTTGTAATCTGTAGAATCTGTCATACCATTCATTTCTGTTATTGGTAATTTGTGTCGTCTCCCCCTCCCCCCAATCAGACTAGGTAGAGATTTGTCAATTTTATTGATCTTCTCAAAAAAACAGTATTTGGTTTCATTGATTTTCCTCAATTGTTTTTTTTTCCTTCTTGTTTCATTGTGTTCTGTTTTTCCCCCTTAATCTTTATAATATACTTTCTTCTGGTTATTTTCAGTTTAATTTGTTCTTTTTCTTGTGTCTTGTAAGACAGAAACTGAGCTCATTGATATGGGACAGTTTCTTTTTTTCAAATATAGCCATTGAGTTCTATAAATTTCCTCTTAAGTATTGCTTTAGCACAATCTCACAAATTGTGGTGTGTTTCTTTTAAAATTCACAAATTCTTCCTAATTTATTTTATTTTTTGTTAATCCTCATCTGAGGATATTTTTTTTCAATTGCTTTTTCAGAGAGAGTGGGGAGTAGGGGGCATTGATGTGAGAGAGACACATCAACTGGTTGCTTCCTGCTCCCACCCTGACGGGTGGGGAGGGAATCCGAAACCGAGGTAGGTTCCCTTGACTGTGAATCAAACTCGAGACCCTTCAGTGTGTAGGCCAACACTAATCAACTGAGCAACATCGACCTGGGGTAATTTGGAAGTACTTTATTTAGTTTCTAAATATTTGGGGATTTTCCAGGGAGCTTTCTTTTATTGATTTCTAATTTAATGTCATTGTAGTCAAAGGATATACCGTGTATGACACAAATCTCTTTGAATTTATTTAGATGTACTCTGGCCCAAAATATGGGCAATCTTAGTAAATGTTCCCTTTGCAATAAAGAAGAGTGTATTTTGCTGTTGCTATGGGGATGTTCTGTAAATATCAGTCAGGTCTTGTTCGAGTCTACTATATTTCTGGTTACTCCCAACTTGTTCTATCAGTTATTAAGAGAGGTACTCTGTCCGTTTTTGGAGTTGTCTATTTCTCCTTGTAGTTCTACCAGTTTTTGCTTCATGTATTTTGGAGCTCTGTTTTAGGATTGCTATGGCCTTTTCATGAATTGACTCCTCTATCATTATGAAATGACCTTCTTTATCCCTGGTAATTGTCTTTGCTCTGAATTTAATAATACATTCCCTCAGCTTTATTTTGACTAGTGTTAGCATGGTATATCTTTTTCCATCCTTTTACTTTTAACCTATTTGGGCATTTATATTTACTAAAGTACATTTCTTATAGCTGACGTAACTGTTGTCTTTTTGTTTTTTTTACAAGAAGTCAAATTTTATGATTTCTTCCTTTAATTCAAGCGTTTAGAACATTAACATTTATTGGGATAATTGATATGGTTAGGTTTGAGACTTTCATCTTGCCATTTGTTTTAGAACAGTTCTTTAAACTTACAGAAAAATTGAGAAGATTGAGTACGGTGAGTTCCCATAGACCAGGCATCCAGTTCCTTCTTTTCTTTATTTTCACCTGAGGATGTGTTTTTATTGATTTTTTTTTCTTTTTGGAGAGAGAAGAAGGGAAAGAGAGAGAGAAATATTGATGTGAGAGAGAAATGTTGATTGGTTGCCTCCTGTACACTCCTGGGAATCAAACCCTCGACCATTTGGTTTATGGGATGACCCTCCAACCAACTGAGCCACACTGTCCAGGGCAGTTCCTTCTATTCTTATTGCCAGGGCAGTTCCTTCTATTCTACATTTGCCACAATTTCTGAACCAGTATTGGTACATTCTATCTATTCCAGGATACCACATTATATAAATCATGTCTTAGGCTCCTCTTAACTGTAACAATTTTTAGACTTTGTGGGTTTTTTTAAAAAACGTTTTTACTGATTTGGGGGGGCGGATATAGAAACATCAATGATGAGAGAGTCATTGATCAGCTGCCTCCTGCATGCCCTTTACTGGGGATCAAGTCAAACCCCTGTATGCGCCCTGACCTGGAATCAAACTGTGACCTCCTGCTTCATAAGTCAATGCTTAGCTGCTGATCCATGCTGGCTGGGCGACTTTGCTCCTTTTAATGGCCTTGATAGTCTTGAGGAGAACTGGTCAATTATTTTGTATGGTACTCTTCTATTTCTGTTGGAATTTGTTTGATGTTTTTTTCATGATCTTACCAGAGTTACTGGTTTGGGGGGCAAAAAGCTCACAGAGGTCAAGTGCCATTTTTATCCCATCATGTTAAGGGTATATAATACCAGCATGGTTTATCACTGTGATGTTGACCTTGACCACCTGGCTGAAGTAGGTTTATTAGGTTTCTCAACTATGAAGTTTCCTCTTGAGGATCTGTTTATTTAGTTCTCAGTAGCATCCCTTTAATTCAAGTGTTTAGAACATTAACATTTGAGTCACAGTTTCTCACTTGTGACTTTGACTAACTTTAAAGGCTTATTTACAAGGCTCTAGTGTAGGAATTGTGTGGTCTGTATGCCTGTGTGTATATTATCCTCATCCTTGATTTTTTTGGCCTGTATTTATCTTTTCCTTATTTTGATTCTTTCCTTTATGTTTCATTATTGCTTTAGTATCTGTGTTCTTGTAGGCTACCTCAAGATTTTTCTTAGAGTTGAGACAAAACAGTACATAAACTTACACCTATTATGTGATTAAAAAGCACCTGCTAAACTTTGCTAATAAATCTTATACTCAGATTATTTTTCAAAACTGTTTTTGTTTCAGGAAGAGGGAAATTTTTGTTTTTTTGTGCTTCTACTTTCCTTTTTTAGTAGTTAGAATAGCATTTTTCTTATAGTCTCTATATACTAGATGAATTAATATGTATATTAAAAACATTAGAATTGCCCGGCTGGGCATGTCTCAGCAATTGAGTGTCGACCTGGGATCCAGGTGATCAGGGTTCGATTCCTGGTCAGGGCACATGCCTGGTTGCGGGCTTGATCAATGACTCTCATCATTGATATTTCTATCTCTCTCTCTCCCTCTCCTTCCCTCTCTCTCAAATCAATAAAGATATATTCTTTAATAAATAAATAAATAAATAAATAAATAAATAAATAAATAAATAAAAAACATTAGAATTGCTGTACTAAATCATATGCTTAGTAAATTTTAAGCCATTTTTCCTGAGTTGATTATTACTTTTATGTAGGAGGAAATGATTCTAACCCAGAAAGCCAGGAAGACCCCCGAGAAGTACTTAAAAAAACATTGGAATTCTGCTTATCCAGGTAAGGACCATAGTGGTTTTTCTAGTACCTAATACCTTTGGTGTTGTACATTTGTTATTATATACAGATGTGAGTCTTTACATAGATGGAGCGTATGTCTGTTAATATCTTTGTCGGTGTACATCTATTAATAGGAAATCTAGAATAGTGAGTAAGTAATCTCTGACATGTTGGAGAACTCTAGGCCAGAGTTCCCCATAGTTGTCCACAAATTCATATTGATTATCATTATTTGGGTTGCTTTTTTAAATTTGGATTCCTGGGCCCCACCCCATACCCACGGAATCAGACTCTGAGTATGGAGCGTTAGGTTGTCTGTCTCAGAAAGGTATTTTTCAGCACACTAAAGTTAGAGAACAAATTTCTTTTTTTTTTTTTTTTTTTTAATTTTTTTTTCTCTCTTTTTAATATATCTTTATTGATTTCAGAGAGAGGAAAGGAGAGGGGGAGAGAGAGAGAAACATCAATGATGAGAGAGTCATTGATCGAGCCCGCAACCCTGGCATGTGCCCTGCCTGACTGGGAATCGAACCCCGATCGCCTGGATCCCAGGTCAACGCTCAACCGCTGAGCCACGCCCGGCCGGGCGAGAACAAATTTCTTATACTAGTTCTCAAAATAAGCCAAATATTGCAATAGCTGGTTGTTTTATTCATGTAGCACTCATATTTTTAGGTGTCCCCCCTCCCTGAATAATACCTCTTCTATTGAAAAGTAGAGTAGAACCTTTAAAGTTTAAATGGAAGAACTGGACAAACTAGAAGATAGAATTGAGTTAAATGTAATTTTGGGGGGTAAGAAGATAACCGATTGTCATGTATAAAATTTTCTATCAATATTGGTGACTTTTTCTCTGCGCCTGCCTTAAGACTTGAGAATGTTCATCGTAGGACAAAATACTAGGAAGTAGCTCATCTTCGCCCAAACTGCTGTTTATCTGTGACTTACCTTGTCACCCTGTAAGGCATGTTATGATCAAATATCCTTCTTTTTGATCCTGGTTGCAAAAAGTGCTGGAAAGCCAGAGTTGGATCTGCTGCTTCTCTGGCAAGTGTTTCAGACTGAACAGCAAGCACTTTGGTCACCAACTTTTCCTGGTGGTTTCATATTTTTTATTTTCTTGTTCTTTCAGCTGGATTTCTGTACTTTAAAAATTGTGTTTGTGTCTTTAACACTCTTTAGTAGAACAAATACACTAAAAAATACATTCTGTAAAGATTTACTTATTAGTTTCGATTGTGTAAAATGCAGTATATTTTTACCTTTGCTCTTTCCCCCTCCTAAATGTCTTTGAAAAAAGTTGACCTAAGGAAAATACCAGGTGGGGTTGGACCTAACTAAGTCAGATGCAGCATCATGCCACACTCATTTCCTTACAAGGCTTCCTCCTAAAGAAGTGTTAATTAAGAGAGATTGTCTTCTTTCTGCAGGGAGAACCTTGCTAGTGACATGTACCTTATATCGCAGATGGACAGTGATCAGTACGTGCCAATCACCACAGTGGCTAATCTGGACCACATCAAGAAGCTCAGCACTGACCTGGACTTGATTGTCGAAGTGCTGAGATGTAAGTGAACAAAAGTCTAGGCTGCATTGTACCTGGTCTTGACAGCATTTTTCTCACATGTGTAACCATTCGAGCCACAGCCATTCAGTGCTAAGGTCCTTCATGGCAATTGGAGTCTTCCCTGCCATCTGAGTCTTTCTGACCAGCCCCCGTGTCTGGTGAAATGCTGATAGCACTGGGCTCCATAATTGATCATAGGTCCAGGGAGTGAAGAAGGCCAGTGGAGAGATGAAAGAAGCTGTGACATGAAATCATGATATTTTAGGGTAAAGTAGAATACATTTTAATTTGCATTCATTCTAGCCACTAAAGTTATTCCTTTCAAATTCCACCTTCCTGCTGTAGGTTTGGTGAAATTGTATTTTTCTTTAAAAGGATTTTGTGAATGAAGTTGTTTCTTAGATATTTGGCAACATCAAAAGAAGGTTTAAATGGGCACATCAGAGGCCTGCAGCGATTCAGGAAATGTGCCATGTCACAAATATAGTTTGCTGGTGTCCTGCTTTGCTTTGGAGAGTGAGTCTTCTGCAACCTAACCATTTTACTTATTTTTTTAAAACCACTTTACCAAAGTAAAGTTGACGTATAGTTAATGGTGGTTTTACTATTTAGAAATTAAAAGAAAAGGTTTAAATATTTATTTATTTTAAAATAATAATAAACCCACAAGTTAAGATAAAGAACATAACTTTTCAAAGCAAATATTGTCATGAACTGTGTGTATTTAAAGTGTGCAGTGGGATCAGTTTGACATAGAATGCATCAGTGAAACATTCACTGTGGTCCAGATTACAAACACCTCCACCACTGTCCAAAGTTTTCTTGTGCCCTTTGTAACATTTCCATCTCTTCCCTTCTACCCAGGATAGCTTCAGTGGGAATTAGTTTTATATTAAATGTATGATATGTTTGATTTTTTAAAAAATGGGATTATTTTTAATTATAAAAATTCACTTTTTATAATATGGTTTACAAGTACCAGGTGAATAATTTCTATTGTCTCCCTCCTCAGGACTGTTCTACTGAGCAGCTCTGATGGGTGTCCCTCACAGAGAACACAGATGCATGCCTTCCACCCCACCCAAATATTTCTAAATGATGGGACATCACCATGCCCTAATTAAAGCCCCAATTCTCTTGAGTTACTGCCTTGACTTTCCATCTGACACTTATGTGAAATTGTTTACATATTCTCCCTGGCTTAGTTGTACTGCAGATGGTCAGATTTTTTTCTTGTGTGCGTTTGCCTTAACAGTAGAAAAAGATGAACATCTTACCTTACAAACATAGGTGGATTTTCTATTCACAAATTAAAGTTTTCCTCTATTTTCTATTGCTAGGCAAATGTCATTAAATAATTGAAACAGATAATGAAGAAACTGACAAATATCATCCATGAAGTTTGAATTCTGAAAACTATACCACTATATCTTGAGATAGTGGTGTGCTTTCCAATGTTGGTGTTTGTTTGTTTGTTTGTTTGAAAGTTCACTTGGAACAGAAACCTGCTTTATGTATCAGTTGAGTTTGGTTTCACCTGACCTTTTTGTAAAGGCCAACAGCTTTCTTAATCTAAAAACTCTTCTTGTGAATTCGAGATGAAAAATCATAATAAGACAGAAAATTATTTTATTTTTGGGGCTTGTAGAAAAGAAAAGCCATTAACACTGAATTGTAATTGTTAGTTATTTGAGCTATTTTAGAACCTTTGTTTTATAATGTTACATTTATTTTAACTCTTATAGGACTTTTAAAATTATCATGTTCTATAGTTTTGAGAAATGTAATATGCAAGATTAGTTTAAAACATTTTGCTAGTTTACAACTGTATACAGGTTTCTTTAATGTGTTTAGTTTCATAGTGTTAACATCCCATTGGAGTATCTATATTATATTACAGTAGAATTTAAATGATTGGTTTGTTTCAATGTTTTGTTTTACCATTCACTTTTTTTCTCTTTGTAGCTTTACCTTTAGTCCAAGTGGATGAGAAGGGAGAAAAAGTAAGGCCAAATCAAAATCGTTGCATAGTAATATTACGTGAAATCCCTGAATCCACCCCTGTAGAAGTAAGTAATTTTGCCTCAGAAGGCTACTTGGAAGGTTTTTTTTGTTTACTTCTCTGTTTTTTTTGGAGAGGGTATTTTAAGGAATGCGTATGTACAGTAACACTTTCTTCCCAGGATTTACACACTGATAGTTACAATGTGATTCATACGTGAGAGTGGTTCTCAAACTTTTTGGTCTCAAGACTCCACTACACACTTTACATTTTAAAAAAACAGTTAATGTGATTGCAGTATTTAGAAATTAAAAGAAAAGGTTTAAATATTTATTTTAAAATAATAATAATAAAACCATAAGTTAAGATAAAGAACATAACTTTTCAAAACAAATATTTTCATGACAAGGGACATTAAGAAGAGTATAGTGAACACCAGAGTAGCTTGTGCGTCATTTGAGCTGACGGGCCCACATCAGTGCAAGATGTCATAGTAAAAAGGCAAAGACATCTTTTTATGTAAATAGAGCCTGGAAATCATAATTTGAGAAGTTCTAACTTAGACATTAATTTTAGGAAACCACAGTATTAGATAGTTCGAGTGGTGAAGAGTAATCTGTTGTTACAGAATTTCTATAAAATCTGGGACTTATCCAATGTTTAAAAGTGAGTTGCATTATGTAGTAAAATACATTGATGTTCATGCCTTGGGAGAATGAAGAAAAGTCTTCCTTTAGAGCATGTGAGAATTTTTTTATTTGATTGAGTTTTCTCATTACAGGTCACTTTTTTTTAATATGTATACCTGGTAAACTTTGAATGGATGCCAGGCATTTTGGACTGTAATGTTTTGTAGTCCTCTGAATATTCTTGAGCTTTGTTCTGAGGTTCAGTTGACTGACTTGGAAGCAGTTTGGTCCTTAGGCGTGTTTGTCAGGTGGAAGCAAAGCTGCCTCTCCTAGAGCTGATTTCCCTATGCTGGCTGAGAGGGCCCTAGGCATGCCCTGAAGGAGGGGCTGGACTGTACTAGGCTGTGCTCTGCTTGCCCTCCTAGTATTGCGGCCTGGAAACTCCAGGTGCGAGCTGGGTGGATTCTCCTGAGCTCACCTGTGCTGCACAGTCTGAGGTCCACTGTTTGTTATTCCATGTATTTTGTCTTTTCTTTTTAATTGTTTCATGTGGGAGCATAAGTCTGGCTAATCTTGGCTAGAAGCAAAAGTCCAGCTAATTTTTAAATTTCTTAAATCCCCCCCCCCCCCCTCCAGCTGACTGGTAAAATGAAATAATATTTTCATATTAATTTAGCTTAATGGTATCTTGGGAGTAGAGGAAGCTGTCAATAAGTTTTCGACTTATTTTTTTATGTTAATGGGACCCTAATTCTGGAAGCCATGTTAAATTCCTGAGCCGTTTTGAAGGAAAGATTTACTGGATATCCGTATGTTAGACCCTGTATAAGGGCCTGTCTTGAGAGCATGCATCATTTTTATTTGCTGATGACAAAAGGTAGCATGGTTGAAAATTAATTTCTAACCTTTCTATTTCCCATAGGAAGTAGAAGCACTATTTAAAGGAGATAATTTACCAAAATTTATAAACTGTGAATTTGCCTATAATGATAATTGGTTTATTACATTTGAAACAGAAGCTGATGCACAACAGGTAAGCTCCTCTCCCTCAAGAAGTATGGAGTTTACTAATACTTAACAATTAGTACATAGTGGGACTAAATCTGGGCATTGAAATTACTCTTACATTGTGGGATTAAGTTTGAATATAAAGTGCAGAGGAAATCAAGTTATAGAAACTTAAATAGGTGTGTGTTTGTGTAGACAGTTTTTGTAGCAATATGAAAAGCATGTGACATTATAGTCTAAGGACATATACGACAAGCAGCTTGTAACAATTCTGTTCTTATACCTGGGCAGAGAAAGGTTTTAATATTTGGCACGTGTTTTGGGAAATTTGCACTTGACCTTATCTTTCACTCGGCATTAGGTGTCTTACAAGATACTTAGAAGGGCACCAAGGCTCTGGGTGTAGACACAGGAGTTAGGATGGTCTCCCTGCCCTTAAAAGGAAAACTTCTCTGGGGAAACAGCATGTGTAAAGGAAGCCTGTATTCAGTGTTAAAATGGTGTGGATGCAGGGGGTTCAGGAGAGAGAAACAAGAATCTGAAAGATGGGCTTTAATTGGAATCAGGGTGGGGACTAAGAGGAGCATGTAGCAAGTGGGTCAGAGCCTTCAGTGTTACGGAGTGGGATTTGGAGAAGAATCAGGACTTTTGAATATTGCAGTCCTAGTCTTTCCCTTTCCCAAACTGTAACCCCAGTTTCAAATTGGGGTTATTACAAGGAACTTAGCATTTGTTGTTTCCCCTAGGTCAGGATTCTTTGCCTGTGGTCTCTGGGAGGCTTTCATGGTATTTATTAATAATTTTAAAATGTGTACAGATGTTTATGAGAATTTAGGGTAAAGCCCTGTCCAGTGTTGCTTAGTGGTTAGAACGTCGACCTGTGCAATGCAAGATCGAGGGTTCAATTTCCAGTCAAATGCACTTACTGGGGTTGCTGGTTCAATCCCCGACCCCCCCTTTCTCTCTCATTCCCCCTTCTCTAGAATCAATGGAAAAATATCAAGTGAGCATTAACCAAAAAAAAAAAGTGGGAGGGGTAGAGGTTCCATAGCTTTTATCAGGTTTGTTTGTTTTAAGGAATCTGTGGTCCAAAGAAGGTTAAGAATCACAGTTCTAGGTCTTGTTCACTGTATTGTAACTATATAAGTCATTATTTGAAGTATTAACTGTCAGTTTATTTTATTTATAAAATTGACACAATGGTATTTTGGATGATTTTATCCTCAGGCTTACAAATATCTGCGAGAAGAAGTGAAAACTTTTCAAGGAAAACCAATTAAGGTAAGCAAGACCCCTGGATATACTTTATTTGTAAATCAGTATTCTAAAGTATTCTAATAGACACTTATTATATTTTTTCCACACAGGCACGGATAAAAGCAAAGGCAATAGCTATAAACACATTTTTGCCAAAGAATGGATTTAGGCCCCTGGACATGAGCCTTTATACGCAGCACCGTTACACAGCATCCTTTTACTTACCTCCCATCTATAGCCCCCAGCAGCAGTTCCCTTTGTATAGCCTGATTGCTCCCCAGACGTGGTCAGCAACACACAGCTATCTTGATCCACCCTTGGTGAGTCCTGTCTTGTCACTTATGTAACAGAAAGTTGTGTTGTGGACACTGCACTAAAAAAAAAAAAAAAAGGACCTTCTGATTCTGTGGTGGGTTTTAAATTTAATTGGGAGATAAATAAGGATCTACATACATTAAAAAACCTTCAAACACTGTACTCTCAGTCCCTTGCTCAGTTTGCTTGCCTTCCGTCTAACATGTCCTTTCCTAAACGTAAGGAAATGTATTCCTAGTAAAACAAAGTGATGCAAGCTCTGGGTTGGGTAGCAGGGGAACTACCTGTGAGCATGGGGTGGGGGGGAATGCCTTTAAGAACAGCCTTCCTATTATAGGCTTTTAATAGTTGAGAACAAGTAGAAGACATGCTTTATTGTCTTATAAGCCTTATATCTCACACCAGCCCTGTAGTCGGTTAGCATGATTAATTTTTATATGTATTGGCCTCCTTTAATGCCTGTGGTTGGAATCCATAGATTTGTAATGGATCCAGTCCTTTTTCTCCATCTCTGCTAGGACAGATGTTTGAAAGATTGTGTAGGCCCTGAGCAATGGATGTGTCAGGGCTAATCTACGGCAGGAAAAGAAGTGGTCATTTGGCTCCTGCCTGGGAGGTGGGGTGGGTTGGTTGGACCGGAGGTTTGCATCAGGTTGCCAGCAGATTTAGTTGGAACCATTGTGATAGAAGGATAGAGTGTGTGGAAGGTTGTGGTTAGAAGCAGGAATCGAGTTCAAAATTTCAAGGATATGGCTGTGGACCACATCAGGGAAAATTGGGATGATCCATTAGCTGTGTGGGAAATGAACAATGTGAGCCTGGCCCCATCATGTCACCTGAGGCTCTTGTTACCCTGATTGATGGATATAAAGTGGGTGGTAACTGAACGGGTGAGCCAGAGAGGAGGTTTGACTCAGCTGGATGATGGATGCCTTTTACCCACTAGAATGTAAAGATACATGTCCATGAAAGAACAGTCTGGAAAAGACAAGTGTGGCAAGCAGGTGATTATTGCAAAAATGGGACATAGAATTCCATGAAATTTATAATTAGGGGTTTATCAGTTGGTATGTCATCATCTAAGTGGAGCTTATCAGAAGAGCTAGAAGGGAAGGAAGCTGCATGAGAGTGGCATGCACATAGGTGCCTGGGGTAGTTGTGGTTTGGCAAATGTTTCTGAGCTAAGGCATAGCTGAGGTGGGGACTGGGTAGATGAGGTTGATAAGCTCCGTCTGCACAGGTTCTTAAATGTTTCTTGAGGTGTGTGGACTACATCTGTGGTGTGTGGGACATGACACATTGGGAGAGAGATGAGTCAGGAGAGGTCCTCATGGGTGCAGAGCCCCTCAAGTCTAGAACCACTCAGTGAAAGATGGTAGTAGACAACTGCTAACATGCAAAGTTGTGTCTGTCTCTTTTGAGTGAATCCTAATGGTAAGAAAATGTACTACTTTTTGGAAGTATTTATTACATTCTGTATAAGTGTACTGATAGCCATATAGTTTGTCATGGGAGAACTGTAAAAGGAAGGAGAGTCTGTAAACTCTTGTGTTGAATAATTTCTCCTAAAAGAAGCCACTTCCATGCTTGTGCTGTTTAGTTCTTGATTTAGGTTGCTTTTCTAGTTTCTCTAATCATACATATCCCTGTCAGAGTGGGGTGCTTTGGGACCCTAGATCAGTTGTTTGACCATTTGGGATGGTTCCTGGTCTGTGAGGCTCTTTGCTTGCTCTAAAACACGCTGTGTTTTTGAGCAAAAGTAAAGAGATAATTGCCTATTAATTCTTAGCAAGTTATATTAAATGACTGTATTAGCAACAAATTTCTTTTTAAACTCTTAAGCAAAATTACTCAAATACCAGAGTTCTACATGTAAAAGTGTATACATGAAATGATTCCTCTTGATGGGTCTTCCCATGAAAAACAATCGTCAGAATCTAGTACTGGGGTGCTTGACATATTTCTAAATAGCCTGACTCTTTCAAATTGTGGAGCTTCTCATAGTGCATTAGGGCGGGGAGTCTAACAAAGTTTCAAGTCCATCTCTCTCCCCCAGCGTTTTGAGGAATTGCTGACTTCTTACCCGTCTGGAGGTGGTGTTACAGTACATTAGGTTGAGCACTTGGGCTTTGCAGACAAGCATATGGGGTCTTGACAGGCCTTCCCTCTTGTCAATTTCCATATGTGGGAAGACACTTCCTGTAGGTTTGTTGGGAGGATCCTCTGACACAGCCCTGGAAAAGGTCTTAGCCCCAGCCTGACTTTGGCCATTAGCAATAATCTTACACAATGCTCTTCCTAAACACAGAATATTTTAAGAATAAAATGAAACATGAGCTCCTTGACACAAGTCATCGAGAAATGACTTGTAGCTTACAATAAGATTCATTGTTAACCAACTCGAAGTATGGTGATGGCTTTTTGACCTGTTTGTTTTTAATGAATTTAGGTAACTCCATTTCCAAATACTGGATTTATAAATGGGTTTACATCTCCAACCTTCAAACCTGCAGCATCTCCTCTGGCTTCACTCAGACAGTACCCTCCGAGAAGCAGGCAAGTTTCATGAGTGTCTAAAATGCTGTTTTCCCACTGTTTGTAATCAGGTCACTGCCGCACTGTATGCTTTAAAAGCAAAACAAAACAAAATGTGTTTAAAGCTAGGTCATTCTTACCATGTGTATGAGTCCTGTTTAAGTAAAGAGGCTGTTCCTGATGATTGCTTATGATACACTTGACTACTAGTCATGTTCATCTGAGGTAAAACTACTTGAAGCATAGAATTACCCAAAATGATGCTGTAGTGCCTGAATACAGGGGGTTCTCTTCAGACAAAGTCTTCTGGGGCAGCTTGCAGTCGTGTATGTTTGCTTTTTATTTAAAATTTGATACTGTAGTTATAGATGTGCACTGTCAGCACTATCAGACATTTCATGCATTAACTATTCTTACTATTATAATGCTTTTTCTAAATAGTATATTTTACCCTTAGACATTCCTGTGTGAGCATGCTCATTTCGTCATGCTTTGATCATTAATATCTGAGCCTTTACAAACATTTCATTTGCAGGAATCCTAGTAAATCCCATCTGCGCCACGCCATTCCTAGTGCAGAGAGAGGACCTGGGCTGTTAGAAAGTCCGTCGATATTTAACTTCACCGCGGATCGATTAATTAATGGTGTGCGGAGCCCACAAACAAGGCAGACAGGCCAACCTAGAACCCGCATACAGAACCCTCCAGCTTATGCCAAGAGAGATGCAGGAACCGGGCGGGTGGAGCAGAGCAGTCTTGAATCCTCTCCTGGCTTAGGTAGAGGCAGGTGAGTTACTTAGAACTGCTGTTGGATGGGTACTATGTACTTATAAACTATTAATATTTTTAAATTCCATGAATTGAGGTATGTTTTTTATAATCATTATTTTCAAATACATCACAAAATAAAATTGAAAGCTACAACAACCATCAAAGGTTTTATATAGTTACTCAGAGGGGTTACTTTAAGATTAGAGACCTAACTGGTCTCATCTTTATTGTAATATAAACTATGGATGGAATGGAACCATGTTAGATCACAGTCATTATTTGTGGAGATGTTCGAGCCATATAGATACCAGACTCCACAGTCTGTGAGCTTCTAGTCTCCAGTCCCATTCCTGCCCGTATAGAGGGCCCATGTCTTCTGTTCCAGTCTTGCTTCTTTTCCAGCCTGCAGGGTCACACAATAGACATAATGAGTTGTGTAGCCAGGCAGTCGAGTTTAAATTCCATTAGTACTAAATTTCTTTATAAACAAAAGCTGTTACGGTTAAGTGGTTGCCTTTTAGGGGAGATTTCCACCCTTGGGTGTTCAATCTGGTGACGTTGGTTGTGTAATGTCTGGTTATTACCTGGACTGTTACCACATCCTAATAGTGGACTGTGTCCACTCTCTTTTCCCCTTTTCTTTGAAGCAGCTTGCTGTCTTGCCTTATGCCACTTGCATTCTGTTAGAGAGGTGAGATTTAAAAGGTGGAAGTGAGTCCTGGTCGTGTGTTCAGTCAGTGCTCTCCTGCCTGGGATTGACAGATTGAAGCTGGCTATATCCAGTTCGTTCTCTCAGTGATTTATTCCACATGGGATGTCAGGAGGGAAATCCACTCTGACAGATAACTAGCTCAACCTGCCTAAGCTTTTTTTTTTTTTTTTTTTTTTTAACTACTTTGAATACTTAAGATGAACATATTTCCGAGTGCTTCATACAGAGTGTAGAGCACAGTGTGTGACACGCAGAGACTCTAGTAATGTTGATTCCTCTTTTTTCCTAACTCAGAATGTGCTTCCAGCACAGGTTCGGGGTGTGAGGGCCAGAGGCAGTCCATTGCATTCATGGTGGTTAATCCACAAGGCCAGGCCTTGGAGGGGTTGTAGGATAGTTAGAATAGCTGAAGACAGCATACTGCAGAACTGTTGTGGGACTGCATATCTTCAAGAAATTTGATGTAAAGTTGGTTCAGGAGGTTATTGGAGGGCTGAAAGACAAAGGGGATGCTGAGGAAATGCAGATTTTAGGAAGCATTACCCATAGGGCAGGGGTCATTGGGAGTGTTTGGGCTTATCAAACCAAGAGGCTTGGAGCAGGACTTTTGGAACTGAGGCCAGACTCTAAGGAACGGCAGTGCCTGCCATGCTGCTAGAGGGACAATGCAGAAAAAGTGCCACCAGGAAGACAGGTTACCAGGTCCTCCCCTCACTTCTCCATCTCCCTCTAGCACGTCTTGTTGAAAAAACGTCCTGGCAATGGAAAGACAGGGCCTGAGGAATACCTGCTCAGTGTCACATGGGAGTGTAAAGGGTCCACTTGAAGCTGAGAAGCATCTGGTTGACTAGCGGTACCCAGCTCTGGCCACACTGGATATGTACAGTTGTCCGCAGCACTTGAACTTTCAAACTACAGCAGTGATGAATTAATTTGCCTTTGCCCAACAAATGGAGACTCCCACATAAATCGTCTGTACCCTAAGGACTGCGACCACCACTAGGAAGACATCAGGAGAGAGAAGAGTTGAGCTGATATGCAGCAGCATACATGACGCAGAAGGAAAAGCCAAGCAGGAAGCCCTGGTTGATACTGATAGGTGGCTCCTTCCCTCTTCCTCACGTTTCCTTTGTCTTCAGCCAAGGCTTTTTGGGTGCTCAGGGCTCTTCAGCTGGAGGGTGATCCTGCAGGACCTGAGCCACAGTAGCTGTGTGTGGCCCCCTCCCCCCCCCCAGCACTCCCCCTTTTCCTGGTTTTTGTTTTGTTTTCCATTAACTTCATGTGTTGAGCTTAAGGAGCAGTGTGAGGCATCCGAGAGATTCCCCTTGGACCACACATGGTTCTCCAACCCCTTCTGTAGCAGCAACCTGTAGATCAGTCAGCCAGTCAGGATCAGTGGCAGGAAGAACCCCAGCTCAGCAGACGCTGTCTCAGTTATGTCACCTGGTGAGAGCCAGGTGACATAACTGGCTCTGGGAACCAAGACAGCCAAACCACCAGGATTCAAAGTTGTGGGCACAGGAAGCAGAAATTTTGCAGATAGAGTATTGGGTGTGCTCTGTGGTGGCTGGACCTATGTGCTGCCATGGCCCTAGCTGTGCTCATATGCAAAGCATATGCTGCATCTCCTGAGTTAGGGCCATTCTCTGAGGGTGCTACTGACCCCTAGCCTTGCAGCTGTGTTCACTCAGCCAGCCTGCTCCCCAGAGTGGGCACACAACACTTCTGTTTCTGTGGGATGGACCTCTGAGTTGGGCCAACACTGCACTGACACCATGGGGTGAAGGTGGCATCTCCTTAGATCTGCTGAGTGGTGCTGACAGGGTGGTGGCAGGCAGAGGTGCTGCCTCCTCCAGGATGAGACAGGGCTGGCACCACTAAGGTAGTGATAAACTGCGAGCCCAAGTATGACTTGTGCACTTGGGGTGACCAGGAAGAGGCTGGCTGGTCTCACCACCTCTTTTCTCCTGGCTGTCAAGGGTCACTTCTGAAGATGACTTCAACACAGATGCCTTGACACTGTTCCTTCCACAAGACTCCCAAGGTCTTTTGTCACCATACTTTGAGTCTTGGTCTTTGTGGGTCTCTCATCCAGCCTGATCCATGGCCCCCGTGCTCAAGAACCAGTGTACATGCATACTTTCAGCTATTTTTGCAACCAGACACAGACGATAACAAATACGTTGCTTGAACTTATGCTCTCTGGGGTGATCCCCCTGCACTCTAGCTTTCAGAGGTGCTCTTTATAGAGGTGTGATGCTGAGGCAGCCTGACACTGCATGGCCATCGGTAATCCAGGTCTGAAACTCCTCTCCCTTTGCCTTTGTGCTGAAGGACTCCCCACAAGGCTGTAGGTGTCGATTAAAAGCAAGGGGAGATGCACAGGACTGGACTTCTGGCTCTGATGTGCTGCTTCTGCTGCTGGTGGGTGATAGTGTTTGTGCCCATCTCCATGGCTTAGTGCCCCATTATGATGGGCGGCTCAAGTCCATGGCTACTGATGTCTACATTTAGGCTCTACTAGGAGTCAACTGAAAGCTAGGAACTATTTCTGGAATTGATTCTGCAGCAGAGGGTGTGGCTTTGCTCCAGAATCGTAGAGGTTTGCACTGTGCTTCTGGAGGGGTGAACCAGAGGCTTTACGCATGTCCTACTTGGCACAGTCGAGGGCTCTGAGCTCATCCTAATTAATTAGACCATTTGTGCAAGGTTGCTTGTAGATTTTCTATAAAATAATTAGTCAAGAGTATTTCTAAACTTCTTTCCAATTTATATAATCCAAGGCCCCCAGCTAGTCTTTGCATTTATGTGAAATGACAAAAGGTTAAGTAAATAGAAATGAAATTATAAATTGGAATAATGCATGAATTGTTAGCCCACAAAGCCCATCCAGGGCAGTGAAAGTGTCTTTGTATCCTCAGGGCCTGCTGTTGTGGTCCCTGGTTATGCGCTGCAGTGCGTGGCCCAGCTCTGCTGCCTGTGTGTCTAGAATGCTGTGCATGTAGTCAGCAGCTGGATAGAGACAGTGCTTGAGGTTTAGAAACACTTGTGTGTTTGGTGGTGAAGGGTAGGCCATTGACTCTGAACTCTAAGGGTTGAAGGGGGTGCAGCAAGAGCTGATGAGGCTATTGGGGGTTTGCATTTTGACAGTAAATTCGATACATTTTATCACCATTCTCTAACAATTCACCTGTGTAGCTCAGTGTCAGATTTTACACATCCTGTCATTCCAACTGAATGGATGTTCAAGGTTGATATAACAAAAATTAGAAATAGCCACTAGGAGCATTCTTTAAATATTTTTATTTACCTATCTAGATGTCATTTTTAGTCCTTTAATATATAGTTTTTGTTTGTTTTGCTTATACTTCTTAAGGTTGGGATTTATAATCAAAAGTCATTGTAAGAGATTACAAAGTCATAAAGATTGAATATATGTGCTCTTACATGTGCCCAATGAAAAATGTTCCAAGTGGGAATCATGAGAGAGATGCAAATTAAAACCACAGTGAGTCCTTGCTCAGATGGTTGAGCATTGTCTGGTGCACTGAAAGGTCACTGGTTCAATTCAGGTTGGGGCACATGCCCAGGTTGCAGGCTCAATCCCTGGTAGGGGGCATGCAGGTGGCAGCTGATCAATGTTCTGCTCTCGCATTGATGTTTCTCTCTCCCTCTCTCTCCCTCCCCCTCTCTTCCTCCCCTTTTCTCCCTCTTCCTTCATCTCTCTAAAATCGATTTTAAAAAATACCAAAAAAAAATACAATGAGGTATCACCTCACAGAATGGCTAGCATCAGTAAATCAACAAGTGCTGGTGAGGACGTGGAGAAAAGGGAACCCGTGTGCACTGCTGGTGGGAATGTAGACTGGTGCAGCCACTGTGGAAAACAGTATGGAGTTTCCTCAAAAAATTAAAAATGGTACTGCTGTTTGACCCAGCGATCACACTTCTGAGAATATATCCTAAGAATCCCGAAACACCAACCAGAAAGAATATATGCATCCCTGTGCTCATAGCATCGTTATTTACAATAGCCAAGATCTGAAAACAGCCTGGGTGCCCATTAGTAGATGAGTGGATAAAAAGCTGTGGTACACAATGGAATACTACACAGCTGTAAGAAAAAAAGGAACTCTTACCCTTTACTACAAGCATGGATGGGACCTGGAGGTTATTATGCTAAGCAAAATAAGCCAATCAGAGAAAGACAAATACCATGTAATCTCACTTATATGTGGAACCTAATGAACAAAATAAATTGACAAACAAAAGAGAACCAGAGGCATGGAACAGACCGACAGATGTCAGAGGGAAGGGGGATGGGAGGGACTTCATAAAAGAAAGCGAAGAGATTAGCCAAAGAACACATGCATAACCCATGGACACAGACAACAGTGTGGTGAAGACCAAGGGAGAGGGAGCCAGAGCTGGGCATAGGAAGTTCCAAGTGGGAAAAGTTAACAGTGTTTTGCTTGCTTTCCCTCTAGGAAAAATTCCTTCGGTTACCGGAAGAAAAGAGAGGAGAAGTTTACAGTGAGTACATCAAGTTTGTGTCATTTTTGTAAGACATTTAAATCTAATTTATATTAAGCAAGCATGAGATGTAATTATAATTATATAAGAGTTAAGACATAATAGGGAGGATTTTTAAAGATGCTTTCCTTTAATGTGACATCCATTAAGTGATAGGTGATATTTTTGATGCTCTAATGGGGAGAGGGTGGTGGCTAATTTTCTGAGGTACTACATGACACACGTGTGTGTGTGTGTTGTGCAGTAGGTACAGCCAGGAAAGTAGTATGCACATGATGTAATCGATCTGCAGGTGTCCACATGAGTCATTGCTGTGTGGTTTACTATATAGTATAATTTAAAATAACTGTGCTCATTAAGTTTGGCAAGCAGAATAAGCTTTTCCCATGTAGAAAATACTTCACCTGTCTTTTTTCTTCAAAACTGTGCCTGCTATGTAGAAGGCATTTCCTCCACTGTAACTTATGGTGGTGGGTTTATGTGAGTGGTGGGCATGTGGGCAAGGTCCCGTCGTCTTAGGTGATGACAGTTCAGCCTGTGCATAATGTTCTGCTGAGCTTTGATGAGTGCTGATATGGTGGGTTTCCACACAAAGTGGTGGAAAACATCCTCACAGTACACAGGAAGACACGAAGGAAGGAAGGTTGTTTCCTGGACCTGCAGGTGTAGAATAAAGTCCACACTTGGAGAACTGGCAAAGATGAAAAAATTCTTTCTCTAGCCCCCTGACCCATCAAGTATGTGCTTCCCCATTACAGAAAATGTATTTTCTTTGGAACTTAGAATGTACAAATTAATCATAACTTCCCATAATTCTGTTATTAGCCTGTTTAGTCTAGTTTTTAGTGAACCCTTTGGTAAGGCAGTTTATATTTGCTGGTTCCAGTGGAATTAATGATTCCTGTAATGTTTGAACTACCAAGACTACCATCCTAATCTCTTCAGAGCCTATAGTTATCTTACATGGTTACTCCCATTGCTCACTCACTATATCACCTAAAAAGGTGAAATTTTCTCTGGTTGTCATTTCTGTTTCATTGTTTTGTGTTCCTAGTTCACATATTCATACCTGGGAGCCACCTAGAATCCCAGGCACGTGACACAGTTATACTTATTAAAGAGAGTATACCTGTTGTTGCACTGGGACATTCTGTTGACTTCAGAAACCTAGTGACGTAACATACAGCTGAGCGTTGGCCTGACTAAGCCTATAGGACTGGGGCAGCACTGATATCTCACCTAAAGCCCATCAGATTCTAAAAAGTGTTAAACACTGCCTTCAAGATAAAACCTCATCCGTAGGTATGTCATTTTGTGACTTCTGTGTCTGGACAGTTGTTGCCTGCCTCTTTTGTCCCTAAAAATCGAGATTTATAAATTTTTGTGAAGTATTTCTCCTCAAAATGCTTATCTTCTGAAAACATGAAGATATATAAAATAAAATCTCTGAAAATTGCTTCGAGCTCTGAAAATTCATGCTGTCTATGCTCAGTTATAGAGACCATCGCGGCTGCTGTTAGTAAGTGCAAGCTCCACTCTGAGGGCTCCTGACTGAGCAGAGTGAGGCTCAACTCGGTGCCTGCCCCATAGTGGAGGAGAGAGGCTGGCAGGCTGCCCACAGGAGGCATGGGATTGCTGCCACCTTGGGTTCATGTCATCCTTAACCTGCTCTCACTTGAGTTCTAACAAGATTTTCTCCAGATTCTACTTCTGGAGGGAATGATCTTCTTGTTGGTATAAGTTTCTAGGAAGTATCAGCCCTTCCAGTTCGAGTGAGCCTCATGAGAGCACTGCATCCACTTAGAGTGGCTAACATTCAACAAAAATACCACCTAAGTAGAAACTTCATTTCCCCTTCCTGTTCCTTGTCGCTTTCAGCAAGTACCTAAAAATGTACAAAATGACTCTAGCTTATTTAAACAGGTTGATTGTAGTTTTTCAATAAAATATCACTGCCTTTTTCCTGAGATCTTGGGCTTATGATTTACACTTGGATATTATTCTGCCAACTTTATGTTCTTGAAGTCAAGAATGTGATAATCTCATACCTAATAGTGTTTTTGTAAGTTAATTTTCAGATAACTGAACCGCCCCCTCCCCCTTTTTTGTTAAATGGTTTATTTTTTTCCTAATGGAAATCTGTAAAATTTCATACATAAGTTGTAGAGAGTTGAAAGAGTGGCCTTCTTTGATTGTTTTCTTTTACTACCTCGTTTATGACTTAGATTACACACTATTTTGTATTAACGCAAAATTTGTCTGGAGATGAATAGGTTAATGTCTAGAATCAGGCTACTCTAATTTTTGACAGTGGGGTCCAGTTGTTCTACAGCATCTTTCTTGTCCATAGCTATCACTTTGTTGCCAGTCTGTGTCAGCCCACTGTACCAGGAACCAGAGGGTCTTGGGCATAGAGAAGCGGCTTCATAAAGCATATACGATCATGCCTAGCAGCAGCCTTGAGGGCTCAGCTTTACAGCTATGCTCTCGATGGTGGAACTTGCCTACTAAGTGAATTTTGACCTACTAAGTGACTATTGATTAGGTGACAAAGTGTTGTGGTCAGATTATCTGTTTTTTCATACAGATGTGGAAATCAGAAGGTTAGAGAATGGATTATTGCCTTACTCTTCTGCTGTGTTTCTCAGCACGGTACTATCTGCACTTGTGCGACTTTGTGGTGGTGTTCTCTTTCAGAGGAGTCAGACCCAATCTCCAACGCCACCAAAACCTCCATCCCCGAGCTTCGAATTGGGACTGTCTAACTTCCCCCCACTGCCTGGGGCAGCAGGCCACTTGAAGACTGAGGACTTGTTTGAAAACAGGCTATCTAGCTTGCTACTAGGATCAAAGGAAAGGGTAAGATACATGTCACAAGCCTCATGGTTGCTAATATTTACTTAGCACTGATTTCCTGCCAGGCACTGGGCTGAGCTCTTTACACACACAATTTTTTTCACAGGCAGAGGAGGTACAGAGAGGGTAAATGATTTGCAGAGACCGCACAGATTTTGAGTGGTAGGGTCAGAGTTGAACCTAGCACTGAAGTCTCTTATTTCCCAGTCTGCCAAGGTTCGAGAAAGACACCTGTGCTGTGGTGTGCATTACATACACAATCTCTCACCCAGAAACTCAGATGGCATTTTTATTGTTGTTATTTAGGACCTGCCTTTATATTACAAGTCAGAAGAATCAAATAGAAAATACTGAATTACACCAAAAGTAATACAATTTTTTGTAAACTACATGAATAACAAGCCTGAGATAATTTTAATACTAGTGGCTTTTGATGAGTTATGTAGGCTCCAGACTAGCTGCTTTCACTTCCCTATGTGATTACAATCCCAGGAATCAGCTTGAGCTACTGAAGTCACAGGGGATTCATTTCCAGTGCTCCTGGGATCTGCTACAGTTAATGAGGTACAGAGAGCTTTGTGCTGCTGCCAGGAGTAATCCCCCTATGTCTTTTTTTCCAATGGAAATCCACTCCCAGATGTTAGGAATCAGAACTCCCTGGCCTCTGGATTAGGGTAGGCCACATCCAGACTCCAGGCCACCATGAAGCCCCTCGGTCACCAAGCTGAGGTTTACATGGGATTTATAGCCAGTTTTCAGTCCTTTTCATGCTGATACGTGGTTACTGCTGTTCTTAACCTTTGAGGTTATAATTATCAATCACATATTAAAGTTGGCATATCTCGTGCATTATTCTAAACTTTTAAACAGTAATTTCTGAGTCCTAAGTGCCTCAGAACAAGTGCATTTTAAAGATGAATTCTAGTTTTCCAACTTACTTTTACTCCCCCCAGTGGTGGGCAGAGCAAACTGCCCTATGTCAACTACTTCTACTTATATTTGAGTTTCTGTGTAAAATTTCTTTGGACGAAAGAATTGCTACTTTTAAAAAGTCAGAGCCTGATTCCATGGCCAGGTGAGAGCCTGCATCCCTGCTTCTTGGAGAGCACCTACAATAGTTTTTTCCTACCTCCATGACACTGGTCAGGAGGAGACTTAGCAGCTATGCAGGGCCTGGGGAAGGCCTCAGAGATTTGAGGTGCTGTTACATCCTGACTCCTCACATGCCATTGTGTCAGGATCAGTTGGATCCTGGGTAACTGAGCTTTTCCAAAAAGGAAGCATTTTCCCTTTCCACATTTCCACCAACCTTGAGCACAAACTCTATAAGACGATGGTTTTCAGGGAGATCCCCATGTCTTTGGTCCCCCATGCTGGGGGTAGAGGGGTATAGATGGTGCAGTCACATTCATCTCATCTCCCTCAGTGCTTTTCTGTTCAGTTTACTTCTGAACCTTTTGTCTACTTTGAAAAGTAAAATTGTAGGAAATGTTGTCTTTTTACATTTAATCTCCCTTCCAATTCTTTATGTATTCTCTTGCCTTTCTTGTTAATTGCACATCATGAAGAAGACTGCATGTATGAGCTGTCACTGTGCACAAGGGCTGTTGGGAGCGGGGAGTGTCAATGGCTGGAATAAGAACATTTGGTGTCAGGTCTTTGTCTTGTCACCATGGATGATTAACCTAAAAGTTCTGAGTTAAGTTTCTTCCCCTGTTAATTGAAAGAGTTAACATCACTCCCTGGGATTGTTTTTGAACTCAGGTGGGGACAGCTGCCACTCACCTCAAGACACTCCAAATTATGTTGGTATGGAAGTGTTGGTGTTTTTGGTTTTTGTTGGTTTCACTGAATTGTGCTAGGAATTCCATATTCAAGAGATACTTGTATTTGTTCTATACCAGGCTGTGCTAGGCATGGGGGTGTTGGAGAATAATTGGTGTTTTTGATATTTGTTTATTTGGGAAAACAAGCTTGCAGAAAACATGGTGGAAACACAGAAGAGGGCCAGAGACTATGAATGAGTTGCTGGGAGGACAGACTTGGTCTCTGTTTCCTTTTCTGACTGCCCACTCAGCATGACAGTGCCCACCTGGTGCCACAGGAGGAGGGCAGACAGCCATCCGTCAGTCAGGCTGGTACCCCTATTGGTGTGCTGTAGATTATTATGAGAGATGTGACCCATGCTGCTCTACCTGACTGTAAATTCTGACTCCAATGGTTTTCAGAGCCTCAGCGCAGATGCAAGCACGAGCACTCTTCCCGCAGCGACCCCCAGAGAGCCCCCAGGGCCAGCCCCCTGCACCCTGTCTGTGGCCCACGAGCGCACCCCTTCCCCTACCCACCTGCCCGAGTAAGTACCATCCTGCTGCCTCCTCCTCACCCACTGGGATTGCTGTTATGTGTGACTCACATGTTGGGTGGCCTTTTCACAGGGACCCCAAGGTGGTGGAGAAGCCAAGGGAAGCCCCGAGTGCAGACAGACTTATTTCCACCACCGCCAGTAAATCGGTGCAGGTGAACGGCACCACCACGGTAGGTGCCAGGGGCATTGGGTGGGAGGAAAGCAGCTCCTTCTCAAATCAGCTCATTGTCAGCACAGTCTGACTTGGTGGGCTTTTACTACTGTGTGTGGTATGCTTCCTCTTTAGGATACCTTGGATATGTACTAATAACTTCAGCTAACTGTTTATTTCTTGTCACCACTGTCATGAGCACTCTTATTTCAGTGTTAGTTTAACGAGGTTGTCCTTTTAAGTAGTTACAGGACTCCAGTTCCTGTAGGATACATGCTCATCTGAGCATGGCTGTTGCTCATAGGCACTGAGAATTCAAGGAGGCATCTCACCCTGCCCACCTCTCATACCCTGCTCACCTCTCAAACCCTTCCCTCAAGGTGGATCCAGCCTATTCTGTTCTGATTTGTGTTTCCTCAATTTGGTCTTGATGAGCTTTTGTCATTTAGATTGAGGAGTTAAACCCATACCGTCCACTAGGTTGACTCTTGAAAGAAGAAAAAAAAAATTTCTTTAATCCATACCCAAGGATATTTTTTCCATTGCTTTTTCAGATAGTGAGGAGGCTGGGTGGAGAGAGAGAAAGAAACATCAATAAGAGAGAGACACATCGGTTGGTTGCCTCCCACATTGGCCCCAACCAGGGCCGGGAATTGAGCCTGCAGCTGAGGTATGGTCCAGAATTGAACTCTGGACCCTTCAGTCCTCAGACAGATGCTCTAACCACTGAGCCAAACTGGCTAGGGTGAAAAAGTTTTTTTAAGTTAAAATTATTTTTAAGTTAAATAATTTATAGAGATCAGATAGTTTTAATTGCTCTCTTGTCACTTTTTTTCAAAGTTTTTAACTCTTCCTTTCCTGAACCCACACTACCAGCCCTCTGTAGTTAAAAATGAGCCAAAACATTTTAAAGACGATTCTGAAGTCCATTTGTAAGCTGGGCTGCACTGTGCTGCACAGTGGTATGTTTGGAGGAAGCAAGGACAGAGAAAGCTGGTGCTGCTGTCTTCTTGGGGCACCCGGTTTTCTTAGGCTTCCTTTGGGGTTTCATGTGGCTCAAAAATACTACAAGTTGGAATGAGTTCAGTCAGCACTTTACACATCAATGCCTTTCCTAGTTTTACCCATTTTTATATTTCTAGAGTTTCTTAGAGGAAAAGTTGTGCTGCAGAGGAAACTACATTTTTGAAATTTATGAAGTCTTTATAAGTAAAAAAACTTTTGAATGTGGGAATTTGATTACAGTTGAAAACGTTTTTTACCTTAAAAGAACAGTATTTTCACCTGTTGCCCCTGGAGAGGTCATGTTGTTCATGTAATCCCAGAGCTGTGTCTTTTCCTAGGAACTGCGAAAACCCAGCTACGCCGAGATTTGCCAGAGGACGAGTAGAGAGCCTTCGTCCTCCCCGTTGCCACCTCCAAAAGAACAAAAGCCAAACACTGTTGGTTGTGGGAAGGAAGAAAAGAAGCTCGTGGAGAGAGAGCCCCCTGCCCCCAAGTCCAACCCAGGACCACCCAGGGACCAGAGGAGGCCATCGGGCCGCCGGCCCTCACCCCCGCCTGCAGGGAAGCGTTCACACAGAGAACAGAGCTCCCCTCCCAGGTCCCCTCAGTGAGCGCCAAGGTCAGGGAGGGCTGTGAGGAGCTGAGGTCGCCACAACTAAGCACTGTCCCACTTGGTACCGAGAATGAGCCGCTGGTTAGGAGCTTGCAGTGTAGACGAGGCCCATGAGATGCCTGCAAGTTATTTTTCTTCTCAGTCGGATGTTCCCCCCTCTTGAAAAAATCTATTTTTCAGGATTTAATTAATATAAACCTTATTTTAGGTTGGTGCTTAACTGGAGGTGATGCATAAGTCTGATTTTTTTCAGGATAGAAAATGCATTTATCCTAACAAATTGATATTTTTTATTAAGCCTCCATGTGGCTATGAATGCAAGCTATAAATAGTGAGTTTTTCTAAATTAAGCGGAACTGTGCTACTTTATTTTTTAAAATAACTGGTTAGCAAGTGCATATCTCTAAGAATGTCAGACTGATGGGCAAATGGGCGAAGCTGAGGATAGTGGGTTGATGGCACGAGGCGATGTTGTGGGTGTAGCCTGGAGGAGGGATGGGTTAAATGGTACCACACACTGGCCTGGGCCATGTACTCACATTCAGAATCTTAACTAGTGATCCTAGCTTTTTGTAAAAAGTACAGTCCAGTTTTTTATCTACTAGCAGAATGAACTTGCAGAGAGCCCCTGAGAGCCTAAAACCTTGAGTTTCGATGCACTGCAAGCAAGTAACCAGCTCCTCACTCCAGTCTCAGTGGCTATTATGTAAGATAAATTCAAAGCACATTGTGAATAGAACTTAAATGAAAACAAACTTTGTTGCCCACTGACATGTTACCACGACATTGTACCCTGGTGGTGTTTGATTCCCATGAGCTGGCAGGAGGGCTGGGAGCCCACGCAGCTCCCGAGTCTCCCATACGGTTGCTGGCTTCCACGGGCCTCTCCCCGTACCTCCGCATTGGCACTCGGACTTAACGTCACTTAATCGTGGGAGAGTGTGTGTGGTGCCCTGTGGTGGTGGAGGGTAAGAATTCCCACTCTCTTTACCTCCAAGATGAGGATCTCACTGATTTCCTTCTGGAAGTGCTGCACTCTGAACCCGCATGCACTAAAGCTAGCAGTTTATAATAAAGTTAAATATAAATTATTTTCTTTTAAAATGCCTAAATTTTTTCTTTAAGTATTCTAAGCAGCAGACATTACGAGTATTTCCTGCTAAATGTAACCATACAAGTTTATTCCACAAAATGTTATTTAACAAGACTGAGGGTTTTTTTAAAAAAATTATTTCCATCCAATATTTAAAGACTTGAATTTTATTTAAACTTGAAAATGACTTTGCCTTAACTTTTGTATAAGACAGCGTAGAGTTCCTGGAGACCGGCCCCTGGGTTGGCGTGAGTGGATTGCAATTACTCAGTGATGTGGGATCTACTGGCACTAGTTTTACTGAGTAAGCGTACTGGAGTACGAGAACTAGCCGTCATGTTTGTAATATACCTTGAAGATCTTACACAGTTGATCTTTTTTCAGATTGTTGAAAAATCCTGTAAATGCAAATAGTCGATACTGTATTAAATATGTGCACTTGGGAGTGTGTGCTTAGCTTGTACAGTTGTAAATAATCAGAACATATTAAAAAGGTACCCTAAAGAGAAAAATCTGATAAAAATTATTGATATATTATAAATGTTGCTATTGAGCTGGATGTAGATAAACTAAATGTTGTGGTTTGAATATTATTTTAATTTGTTGAGGTTTTTCTTCCCTCTTAAACTGGTGTGTTGAGCTGACTCTGCCTCTTTGCTACTGCAGAGGGAAGTAGACAGTCTCATGAAAGCCTTTGGATGTGTCCATGCTCTTCCTAAAAGTATGTAAATATGTGCTAATCATAGCTGGTGTGAAAGGGTTTTTGAAGTGTAATGTAGAAAGCAGAAACTGGCAGTATCTTCAAAGGAAGTGAAAAATAATCTACTACTGAAAATCACCAATAGCCCAGCATGATTTACCTTGCCGGAGGAAGACGCCCTCCTCGAGCAGCCAGCATCGTTTATACACCTAGAAGTACACCACAGTGCTAACATTTTGCAAATGCCTCTAAAAGGAACGTGGAGATTATTTCTTTGTGGTTGCCAGATAGCTGATAAAAAAACAGAAATAAGTGACCTCTTATGCCCAAACTAGTGAGTCCCATAAAGAGAGTTGGAAAGGCAAGCTCCAAGCTTAGGAATTCCTTAGTGTGGTCTTTGCTGGAGGAGGGAGCCACGGTCATCCCCAAATCGTATAAAGACAAAGCCTTTCTCTCTCTGAGGTGGTGCCTGCTGGAGCTCCACCATAGCTGGCAAGTGAAGAGCTCAGCAGCTGCATACAGGATGAAGGTGGTCACTGACCGCAGCAGGCCAGTCACTGGGCATGGTGTGGCTGCGCTGCTGCAACTGCTTCCACAGCCACAGTGTGTGGCATCCAGAGTTGAAATGTTGCTCTGATGGATTTTTATAACATCCTTTTTAATTAAGCAAAGGTGATATGCCAAATAGCTGTATGATGTCCAAAAAACCACCTTTCTGATACTACTATTGAGATTTTCTACTCACAGGAAAGAATGGGAGTTGGTACAACAGGGAAGCTGTGATGTAGATGGCAGCTGTCACACGCAGCTAGTAGTATATGGCTTTGTACATTTTAAATAATGTAACTCTTTGTTTTCCCCCAGCAGTATTTTGAGGTATAGAATCAGAGATACAGCGATCACAAATGACATTTTAACTTGTACAATTGTGTGATGATGATACTTTGGAAATATAAGAATCTGGCCCCATTTTTGCAGACATGAATTTCAAGTATTGTAGTTGCTTCTTAAAGAGTTAGTGTCATGATGTTTCTGATCAGGCCTTCCTGTAGTCTCATCACCAGCTGGCACTAGCTGTAGTCAGGAGTACTGCAGGTTGTTTCTCACGAGGTCAGGTGAGGAGGGTGTGAACTTGTGAGCTGTCGGTAGGGGTTACACAGAAAGCAGCAGACAATCGAAGACTGAAGGAGAGCCAACAGCTGCCAGTTCACAAAATGAGTGTAATGTGGACGCTTTCTTGAGGGTTTTGTTTTGTTCTGTTCTTTTAATTAAGACTGGAATCAAGCTTACGTGTAACTATTGGTAATTTAAGTTTCCTTTTGTGTCATTCAGTGTAAAACTGTCTAATTTGAAAAAAAAAAATGTAGGTTATGAAAAATAAAGATTTAGGCACTGTTCAGTTTTTCTTTTGATTTTTTTTTTAAAATTAAAATATTCTTGAAGAATGTACCTTTTTAAAAGTAACTTTTTGTGTATTCCTGTCTGTACATGAGAATGAAATACAAGTTTCCTCCAACTTGTGTTTGGATCATAAAGGCTTCTGAGCACACGTGTGAGTTTTCTGCAGCATGAGGGTTCTCCCCAGTTGGTTTGTTTTAAGGTATTCAGAGCAAGCATTAAAATCAAGTGTTCATGAGGAAACTGTTCATTAAACCCAAGATTTACCACAAAAGTAAGTATCCCTGTGTCAGGATCTTTTGTTTCTTGTGTTAAAGGGCCATGTCTTGTGAGATGTCTCCATAGTGTCACTCTGAGCTGATGTTGGGGTCATGTGGTTTTCAGACCATTAAGTGAGCCTCAAAAACAAAGTTACTGATCTTTCCGTAAACAGTGGTGATACCAGCTCTAGTAAAAGGCTGAAGGAGGATGAAACTTCTTAGTATATTATTTATTTAGTGGACAGATGATCCGATTAGATGTTAATTGACCAATTTTCTTTTATGAATTGCCTGTTCATATCCTTTTTCATTTTTCTACTAGGTTATCTTTTACTTACTGACTTGGTACTCTTTATGTGTTTTGGCTACTGGCTAGTAATTCTTTGTCTGTTATATGTGTTACAAAGATTTTCTGAATCTCTTAACTTTAGAGTATTTTTTATCTTACAGTTTTTAATTATCATGTAAAATTAATCAGTCTTTTCCTTCAAGTGTCTTGGTTTTGTTTATGAAATCTTTCCCTACTCCAGTCATAATCTCTTTTTGTGTGTATATATATATATGTCTTTAGTCCGTCTGGAGTTCATTGATCTGTATGTGTGTGTATGGTCTGAAGTAAGAACCCAACTTTTCCATCATATGGGACGTTTCTTTTTCCTGTATCACTAGTTCCTTATTTCTCCACTGATGTGTAAAGCCACTCTTGTTACAGAGGTCCCACACATGCATGCATCTTTATGTGGCTCTTATTCTACGTTCTGTTTCTTTGCTGACACCATAGAATGCCATTCACCCATCATTCTGTGTTCCTAAGAATTTCCTTTGTAGAGCTCATCACAATGATAACTAAATGTGCTCCATAAAGGTGGGAATTAGGCCCATCTGGATCACCATTGTATCCCGTTCTTTGTACACTGTGACATAGTAGATGCTCAATAAATATTTATCAAATTAATGAAATATTTATTGAGTATGTATTCTCCATGCGTAGCAACCGGCCTAGGAAATTTGGGAAGAAATTGGGTGATATTATTAATTGCTATTTCTGCATAACCACCCAAAAACGCAGTGGCTTAAATGACAGTTGTGCGTGGGGATTGGCGGATGTGGGCTCGGCATGGTTGCACTTGCTCACAGATGTGTGCATCAGCTGGTCTGGGCCTTTTTGTGGGGGTGGGGGGTCACACATACCTTGTCACCTGTGCATTTCATCTTTGGCCCAGCAGGCAGGCATGTCCTCTTGGCTGTATCTGCACCTTCTTATAGGGCAGTCTCCTGCAGGTCCATAACTACACTTCATGGAAATGTGGGTGATTCCACAGCACCTAAAATCCAAGCCTATCTGGGGATCAGCAACAATAAATTATGTCACTAAAGAGGAAGCTCAAAATGTCCCCAGGGACCTGTGCCCTTTTCATGTCTCTGTCCTGCCACCTCAAGGTCAGCTTGTCCTTGGAACAGGATGTTGCAGGAGCCACGTTAATATCCAGGGAGTGGAAAAGGGAGTTTCTGTGTGGCATTTAGGAATTATATCAAACTGGCAGTAAATTTCACATGTACTCCAGAATGGGGACATGTCTATTCTTGAACCAGGGAGGGCAGGGTCCTGGACAGGTTGGGACTCTGTTAGGAAAGGAGAGGCAGCCACCAACCCACCCACTGTGAATGCAGCCCCTCAGGCTTCAGGCTTGTATAGCTGACAGCTCACGTGATGTGGCCACCTGAATTTAGTTATCTCAGACTTGCTACACTCAAAGTAGGTCCTTTGTTTTCTGCACAAAACACCATCTCACCTGGTACCACTTACCCACCCAGTTACTTAAACAGCTGGACCATCCCTGATTCCCTATTCCCATATCTAATCCATCAACATTCCTGTTGCCTCTACCTTTCTAAGACACCCCGAGCTTCCCATCGTCCTACTTAGCCATGGTCACCTCTTACAAGCCTCATAACTGACCTCCAGCCTTCTGACACCCGCAGCCCCCTTCACACCAGCCGGAAGGGTCCTGTAGGCATTCCCCGGGGTAAACCCTGTGATTGATGCCACACTGCAGAATCAAGTGTAAACAGCGTAGCCTCCAGCTGCTGCTCATCACACCCAGCTGCTCCGCCTCAGTGTTTTCTTACCTTGGAACCCTTCCTCCTCTCGATTGACTGCTCTTCCTATCAGTCGAGTTCTGGTTCACATGTTGGCCCTTTACAGAGCCTGTCCCTGAGCCCATCCCAAGTCACCTCTGTCTTATTCCCATCTTACTTTATTTGCATTTCATCTAATTTACTTGCTTTGGGCCCAAGATCCCTCTGTCTTCCCAGTGTCCTGAGAGTGGCTCCGCCCACTATGGGCATCTCATAAATCCCAAGTATTCAGCAGCTTGGTGATGAGACCTGTGTTGTCCCAAACACTGACACATGCAGGCTTAAGGCCACCAAAGTTTCAGTTGCCCCAGACCTTTTCCTTAAACTGTCAGCTCACCATCACTGTGGGTGTCCAAAAGCAACACAGCCGAGTTTCTGATGCTGCCCCAACAACCTCCCTTCAGGCAGTGACAGCCCTGTCAGTCCATTCCTTGGACCCAAACCTGGGACTCACCCTTGCTTTCTCCCACATCAGCAAATCTCCAGGACACTGATCTGCCTCTGGATCAATGCAGTAACTGCAGCTTTTATGCTTATGCCATGTCCTTTCTCACATGGCACCACAGTGGTCCTATGATCTCAGCCCTGGTCAGAACCACCCAAGGGCCCACCTGGTGTGACCTGGACGACCTGACAAGTCCTCAGGCTCAGTGGGCCCTGGGCGTCTCAAACTGGCCTCTGGCTATCTGTGTGATAACAGAGGCTCAATTGCGTCCAGTCTTGTGACCACTCTGGTTAACTTGTACCTGCCCGCCCTTCCCTGCTCGGTTTTCCTCATAGTCCCCATCGCCATCAAATAGAACGTTTCTGTGTGCCTTGTTTGCTAGCCTCCCCTGGAGCTGACGCTTCATTAGGTCACAGAGTGGATTTGGGGGCAAGGGGCATATATTTTGTTTAGCGCTGTTTGTCCAGGGCCTGGAAATGTTTAAGTCTTCTACATGAAAAAATCCACTTTCTATTTTTCATACTTAAGCCAGTGGGTGGGACCATGAACCAAAGCTGTTGTAGGCACAGCCGCCTTTGAAGGAGCCATCCTGCCCCATTTCTGCCCTGCCCAGCCTGGGCCAGGCTCCCAGCCAGCCTGAGGACCATGAATATTCCCGCTTTCTCAGTAGGGTTGTGTGTGTAGCGCTGGGTGTCATCATTTGGGGTTTCCACCTTGCACTCTTTAACTATAGCTTTGTGGGAATCACCTGGAGCTCTTGTGAGAGCTCAGGTTCCTGGGCCTCACCTGGTTCTGATGCTGAGAACGTGGCTCTGGTGAAGATAGGCATTCAGGTTTATTGTCTAGCCCCATCAGTAATGGCAGGTGTGACCCAACCAAGTCTGTCCAAGACAGCTGTGGGGCCTGAGCATGCTTACACATGTACACATACACATGCACCTTCACACATGCACAGGTGCACACAGGCATGCACACACACATACACACATGCACACAGGATTCCTGCACCTGCCCTCAGCCGCGTTGCCTAATTCAGAGCAGCTCCATGTTGTCAGGAGCACCAGGATCTCTGTGATCTTGGGCTGCCCAGGAGCCTGGTGCACTCAGCCCCGGGGCAGCCAGGTCCTCCGGAGGCCCCTCTGCTAGGCTGCTCTCGCTTTGTGTCTGCACCTCCGCTGACAGCTCTCTGTCTTCACCCTTCCTTTACCTCTGTTAGGGCTCACATATCACGTCCAGGCCTTCTCACAGCAGGTCCCCAAGCTAGCTCCCCAGGATCGTGGAGCTCCCGGACCTGCTGGGTCAAGCCGTCAGCGAGATAAACAGTTCCCCATGGACTGGTGCACCCAGGGCCTCCCTGTCAGCAACAATTCCTGAGCCTGGCCAGAAGTGTGTCTTGTGAGACTTGGAATCATGGCTCCCAGTGCCCCGCCAGAGCCGTATCCTCTGACAGATGATGCAGACGCCATTGCCAGCAGGTAAGGGCCCATCTTTGGGCAAAGAATACTTCTGAGGACTTGGTGAGTCACAGGCTGGTCCTTCCACAATAGCTATGGAGCACCCCTTCCGGTGGGGATCTGGCCTCAGGGACCAGGGACACATTCCGCTAGCCCTAGGAATGAGGACGGCTGGGGGAGGTCCAGCCCAGGACCCTCAGAAGTGGGTGCAAGGCTTGGTGAGTCAGCCTGGAAAGGAGAGAATTAAAGAGGAAAATAAAGGGAGCTGGCACCCTATTTGAGGTGGCTGTGTGACTAAGTCGGGGTGCCCTCTGAGACTACTTTCCTAAGAGGCGGAGCTAAAGGGCTCCTTTCTTCAAATTGAGAGATAATTGACATCAACATTGATATTTGTATGTATTGTGAAACATCACAGTAAGTCTAACTTCCATCATCTCACATAGTTAACAAATTTTTTGTGTCTGATGATTAAGATTTACTCTTAACTTTCAAATACAGCAGAACCTTAAATAACATTGTTTCGTTCAATGTTTAGTTTTAACACTGATGAGGAAAACAAAATTGCTTCCAGGCGGGGCCACTGTCTGTGCAGAGTTTGCAGGTTTTCCCTATGTCTGTGTGGGTTTCTCTGGGGACCCCAGTTTCCTCCCACATCCCAAAGGTATGCATGTGAGGTGAATGCCGTGTCTGCATTGTCCCCACCTGAGTGCAGGATGTCCTGTGCAGGGTGGGTCCAGCCTTGTGCCCTGAGCTGCCGGGAGAGGCTCCAGCCCCCCGTGACCCTGAACTGGGATAAGTGGGGTGGAAAATAATGTAACCTGTTTTAATTCATCTTTCTTAAATGTATGTGTAGCTCACATTTCTTCCAATGTTTAATATTAGAAGTGTTTGGGGTCTTTATTCAGAAGTTTGGTGATGTTTTTGTTAGCAGAAATATGCCATAGGAGCTTAACTCTTGTTTAAGCTCTCCTAGGGCAGCAATTTTCAACCAGTGTGCCGTGGAGAATTTTTTTCTTTTAAATATATCTTTATTGATTTCAGAGAGAGGAAGGGAAAGGGAGAGAGAAATAGAAACATCGGTGATGAGAGAGCCATTGATCGGCTGCCTCCTGCATTCCCCCAACTGGGGATCGAGCCCGCAACCCAGGCATGTGCCCTGACGGGGAATTGAGCCTCAATCTCCTGGATCGTAGGTCGATCCTCAACCGCTGAGCCACGCCCGGCTGGGCGAGAATTTTTAAAACATGCAATACCTGACTATTAGGGGCACTGACCTCTTTCCCCTTAGGTCAGGGGTGGGGAACATCTGGATATGGCCTGCAAAATCATTTGGTCTGGCCAATGTACTATTTCTGTGAAAAATTCCGTTGGTATTTTGATAGGGATTGTATTGAATCTGTAGGTTGCTTTGGGTAGTACGGACGTTTAAACAATATTAATTATTCCAGTCGATGAGTACAGAATGTCTTTTCACTTATTTGTATCTTCAGTTCCTTTCATCAATGTCATATGATTTTCAGGGTACCAGGTGTTTCACCTCCTTGGTTATATTTATTCCTAGGTATTTTATTCTTTTTGATGCACTTATAAATGAGATTCTTAATTTCTCTTTATGATAGTTTCTGTTAGTGTATAAAAACAAAACTGATATTTGTATATTGATTTTGTAGCCTACAACTTTGCTGAATTCATTTATTCTAACAGTTCTTTGGTGGAGTCTTTAAGATTTTCTATATATACTGTATTATGTTATCTGTAAATAAAAAGTTATGCTTCTTCTTTTTCAACTGGACGCAGTTTCGTTCTTTTTCTTCTCTGATGGCTGTGGCTAGGACTTCTAGTACTATGTCTGCATAAAAGTGGTGAAAGTGGACATTCATCTCTTTTTCCTGATTTTAGAGGAAAAAGCTTTTCGTC